TGTTGTCTTTGTAAAAAATTCCCCAAAATCTGTGACAAAAATTTATTATGAAACTCTTAAGTGATTACAGCAAGGTCACAAGATACAAGGTTAACATACAAAAGTCAATTGAACAATTGAAACTTGAAATGCAAAAATACATTAGAATCCAAAATAGAAATACTTAGGTATAAATCTAACAAAACATATACAGGATCTACATGAGGGAAACTACAAAACTCTGACATAAGAAATAAAGATCTAAATAAATGTAGAAATACACTGTGTTCGTGGGTTGGAAGACTTAATGTACAAGGAGCACACTTTGTGCCCATATTTTGGTTTCTAATACCATTCTTTAATAAAAGGAACTGGAGCTCCTTGGAGAAATGACAAGATGAAAATGTACAAGATGAAACTAGAGCATCTTGCAGTGCCAGAAATTAAGGAAATTCTTTAACACACACACACACACACACACACACACGGATAGGATATGTCAAAGGAGCACAGGGTCCAACTGAGAGTTCCCAATGGCCAATGCTGTAACAGTTGTATTATAACCCAAAATATAAAATAAATATACTCATAAATCCATACTGATATAAAGGATAAATAAACGGGGGAGTAAAGACAAATCTCTCATGCAGAGGAATTCCAAATAATTAATTTATATAAATACTCCATCCTGAATGAGGAGGAATATAGGTCCCTAATCCTTAATATTGGCTGCATGTAGTACTTCCTTCCAAAGAGTGTAGTATAAGGAGAACGTGGAAAAAAAGAGTAACTTTACGGTGGAAAAACCTGACAACACTGCTCAGCCAGATAATCAAGGTCAACATCAACAGTAATAAATCATGTTAATAGTATATACCTTTGACAGGATGTTATGAAAATGGTACCTCCATGGTCTTTCTTCCCCAAACCTATAAGCCCAGTCAAATCATAAGAAAAACATCCCATAAATTGCAATAGGGGAGCCTCCTACAAATAACTGTCACAACCAAGATGTACTTAAGGATGCATTACAACTAAATATAGTAGTATATTCTGGATGGGATCTTGGAACAGAAAGAAAAGTATTAGATAAGAAAATCCAAAACAAACAAGCAAGCACAATATAACCAGCAACATTGAAATTAAGAACAATCAAACAGTAACCAGAAAGGAGGTGGGAGGGGATAATGGGGGAAGGGGGAAGAGTTTTCAGGAACGACTGTAAAGGACACGTGGACAAAACCAAGGCAGGTGGAAGCAAGGGAGCGAGGTGGGGAGGGCTTGTGTCGGGGGTGTGTTGTTGGTTAAGTGCAGACGACTGTAATAGAACAATAAAATAATTTTTTAATAAAAAAAGAAAAGAAAACCCAAGTAATATGTGGATTTTAGTTAATAATAATATACCAATATTTTAATATTAATGAATTTATCACAGTTATGTAAGATATTAATGATAGAGGAAACTGGGTGCAGGCTATATGGGGAATCTCTGGTCTGTCTTTATAAATAAAATTATTCTAGTCAAAATTTTATTTTGTTTTCTTTACAACAGAGAGACATCTCTTTCATCTACTGAAAGAAAGCCATCAACTATCTCCTTTAAAATGCTAGAAATTCAGTTTTGTGTGGCTAAAGATAATATAAAGTTAGATTCCTTTTAGGGTGACTGTTATTGACCCTTAAGATATTTTTGGTTGTTAAAAAAAAATCACTATCTTTTTAGAGAGTTTTAGATTCCAAGTGTTTCAAATCTAAGTCTCAAGTTTACTTGTTAAGAAAAGGCATTTAGTGACTATTCTTTTCTCAAACAGAAATCTTACCTTTGAAAAAGTATATGTATTCTATAACTTTGCCATGGTATGGAAGATTTCATCACATCATAAGAATATTCTTTTAAAAAATATTTTGTTTATTTATTTTTACAGAGGGGGAAGGGAGGGAGAAAGACAGAAAGAGAAATATTAATGTGTGGTTGCCTTTCATGAGTCCCCTTCTGGAGACCTGGCCCATAACCCAGGCATGGGTCCTGACAGGGAATCCTTTAGTTTAAAGGTGACCCTTTGGTTTGAAGGTTGGAACTTAATCCACTGAGCCATGCCAGCCATGGCACACATCATAAGAATATTCCTAACCTGAAAATATTTTTTGCAGGATTCCTTAAAAATGCTAATTCCCTCACTGAATTTAAACTAATGCTAGATTTTATTATGACCACTTAAGGATAACTTGAGTACCCCTCTAAAAATTTTTTTTCACTGATTTTTTTTTTAAAGAATGGAGTACAGTGTTCTGATGCTATAAAGACTTTTTATTCCTGTATTGAAACCCGACCTACTTATATCTATATCTAGTATGGTAATATGTTCTCTTCCTCCTTTAGTGGGCGAAATTCATTTATCTTCTAATCAAGGAAAATGAGTTAACTTCTAACAACCTCTGATACTTAACAGAAACACAACTGTACTTTGGAATTAGTCATTCATCTTTATTTCATAGTCTCTTATTTATTACTGCAAAATAGTAGTATAGCAGTATTACCCAGTGTCATGTACTACCAGCAAGATTTCATTGTAATAGCATTGTTTTAAAATCTGTTATTTGACTTTAATCTGGATAGCACAGATCAATGTTTGCCTCTGTAATTTCAGCCAGGCACATCTAAGCACAGCAGTCAAGTGCTTTGCTAACCTCCATACAAAGTTGTGATGGACTCATTAAAGGAGAGTCCCAATTAATAACTCTCTATCACCCATAGGAAATCAATTTTTCCATTTTCTATTTCTAATATTTTTTAAGTAAAGAATTTTGGGCCTAGATTTCAAGTTTGTTTTGCTATATAATCCTTAAATCATTGTCTTAAATTAATCTGAGCCTCATTTTTCTAATATGAGAAATGATTGTTGTTAAGATATACTATAAAAATGTAAAGTGCTTAGCATAGAGTATTCTATATAGTAATCAGTCCATACATGGAAGCTCTTGTTATTTTTATTCTGTGCTGTGTTTCAGTATTGCTTCACACGCCATGTAAAATAGCTGTTGTGTTTTGGGAGGTATCTTCCACATATAGTGTACAGTGCGTGCTCAGCTTGATCAAAAAGGCAGCAGAGGAGAAAGCCTCTTCTTTGGTACACAAAATTCACTGAATATGGAAAGTGTTTGGCATTCTTCATCTTGGATGAAGCAATCCTAAATCTTTCAAATATCTTTGTAAATAGAAAAAGTTACATGAAAATGATGTTATTTATCACCAACAGAAGCAGCCTTATTTGAGCAATCTGTATTGAAATGACTAATACAGACACAGGAGTTTTCGTGTGGAAAGCAAATGCTCAAGTGAAACAGGATTTATTAGGCAATAGTGATATACCTTTTATTAGTTGGACTCTGATACCTGACAACGAATGGTACTTTACCCGAAGAGACACGTATCATGCCTCACTTAGTCTAATCACAAAAACTAAAGGTCTATGTTACTGTGAGCCTCAAGTGGAAATGCCAAAAACAGTTCTCATAGAATCACATAAGATTCAAACTAATCCTTAATTTAAATAAATATGTAAAGTTTAAGTGACTGTAATGGCTTCATATCTCTCTGTAATGCAGAAATTGTGGAAACGCACAGAAATATAGTAACACAATAAAGGACAATAAAGCAATAAAGGACATTCACTTTACTTTGTATTTATTTATTAATAAAAACGAAAGCATTTTTCTAAGAATGGCCTTGTCTGTTCACCCCAGGAAAATTTATTACTTATAACTTTAATGTGAAAGTCACAAGCCAACATTTTATCTTTGCATAGGCACTTTAGCCATAAGTTATATACAAAATTTATGACAGCAAATGAAGTTCTAACCTCAGTAGATGACAAAGATGAATAATTTTCAACTTTTAGTTTTTTATATAAGCTTTGTAGATTTTAAATTTTACATTTTATTTTGTGTCCCTATCAAGTTGGCTGTCTTTTACATGGGTTGGTTGTCTAAATTAAAGATTAAGATTCTAGAAAATGTTCTGAGAAAGATGAGGGTAGATTTAAGAACTCATTTATAATTAAACATGGTCTTAAGTGTTTTCAAGTTCATTATAATGGCCTTTCACGAGTATTTTACTCCCTCTTTACCCAACCCCACACATGCCACCCTAACCACCTCATTGTTCATATTAGGGTCTCTCTTCTGGGAGTTTTCAAGGATAAAAGTGTGTTCAGTTAGCATGGCCTTCATCATACTAGGGTATTTGCTCTGATTCTAGAGATGTTTCCTAATTAATTTTTTTGTAGCAATAGTGCTAAGGACTAGAATTCCCCATCTGAATCTCTTCCTAGAAATGGGATTCAGAAAGCATGGACTCCAGCCAGTTTGGGGACTTAGACAACTAGCTGTTTTTTGTCATTAGATATAGCTAGAAGTCTACTATGAAATACTCACATACTCCATTGGCCTGAGAATGTGTTACTACTAAACAATGTTGATCATCTAGGTTTCAGAAATTAAAGTTCTACCTACTCGAACATTATTTTGAAGTGATTGGTGGTGGCACAACTTAAAAATTTTTAAGCCCTAAAATTCAGAGTAATTTCTTCTAATAGCACACATTCAAAGATGAGCATACAAGACATAATACATCTCAATTAAGTTAAGCTGAGTGTGAAAATCCTCACTACCCTTCCACATAAAGTGATAAAACATGAAGACAGGCATTTAATATCATAGGCATGATGATTACTATTGAGCAGAGAAGTATCACCATCAGTTTTCCTCAGATGTTCCTAAATACTTCTGAATTTATAAGAAGATGGACTGGTTTAGTTTAGCTTTCCAAAGTGAAAACTTTCTTGATTTTTCCTTATTGAATAAAAAAAAAAATTAAAGAGTGAAAGACCGAAAACTACAGCCCACCTGTGTTTAATCATTAATAGTGAGTCCTTTGGTGAACTTAGGTCCTGATTTTGGAGTTTGGAATCTGACCTTTCCCCAAAGATAAACATTATCATTACAGGTTCTAAGGAGGGACATTCCCTCACTGCCGTCAGAAGAGTCCACTTCTTAGTGACTCCTTGCTGAGTACTGGATGCATTAGAGGGTGGCTAGTCAATATGATTCTTCTTGCTGTGCTTTTTCTCTGCTTCATTTCCTCATATTCAGCTTCTGTTAAAGGTAAGTTCGTGTTGCCTTTTTCTAAACTTTAATTTATCTTTGAGGGGAAGTGTGTGTGTGTGTGTGTGTGTGTGTGTGTGTGTGTGAATGGTGAAAAAGTTTCTAAGTAAACCATCTTAAAACCATGTAAATATGGAATGTTGGTGAAGATATGGCTAAATTAGAATAAAAACCAAATTCAAATTCCTCCATACATTAAGAAAACAGAATTTCCTTTTTGTTTCATTTCCTCAGTTTAGTGTGCTTCTTGCTTCAATTTCTCATTCATGGTCAATTTTTAAAAGAGAGAAAAAAAGATGCCAGCTATTGTTACCTGTTGCTGTTGGTCACTCACTGAATGCAGCTCCTTCATTTAAATTGTAAAAGAGGATTTAAAAAAAAACATTTCTTAAATTTCCTTCTAGTTGCTTAGCAACGTGACATCAAGAATTAGACCCAATGAAAAAGCATTTGATTTGCCAAAGAATTATGAATGAAATGGTAAAGCACTTGTTTGATTTCATTACTCTTTAGAAATGATAGAATTATCATTTATTTACAGAAAATAAAACTACATACATTTAAGAATGAAGATTTATTATCTTTGGAAAAATATTATTGCTAGTTATTGCTTCTTCTTTAGGATAAAATTGACTTTTTAAAACACCCATGAATTAAGACCTTTGAGAGAAAAACATTTTATGAGTAGTGGTTTCAAAAAGATGTATGAAATGTATTGATATAGAATCTTGTTTTAAATTAGCTGGTTTATACACTCTGTGGATTTCTAAATGCTGCACCTGTAAAATGATCACTTTTTTAGAGTCCATTAAGAGGGAGCACTATCAAAGGTAAAGGATCTAACATATAACATAGCATAATAAAGTTCTATTTATTAACTGTGTATTCTAAGTACTTGATAAAACAGTGTATTTGTAAACTTTAAAAACCCTTTTGGGATAATTGTGGCTTTTGATGATAAAGTGAGGTTTTTCTCAAGATTTTTTGTATGGAAAATTTCCACATGAGAAGACAATCTTCCTTATTGGAACAATAAATGGAGGGCTAAATTTAAATTATTTTACATAGGCAAATGACACTTTATGTTCTTGAACATATGTTCAACATTATGTTCTTAAAGTGATAGTATTTTTCACTGGTTTCTAAAATGTTTGGTATTTAAAGATACAGTCCCTACTTGGATGAAAAAAAATTCTGAGAAGAAAGTAAAAGTTTGTAAATTATATCTGAGAATTATTAGATAGAGAACTTACTATTTTATTATTTGTCAAATAAACCTGTGTATTTGAAATATGAGTGATTTTTACAACATAATATCAAACCTAATACCATGATTATTTTGAGGAAAATAATTGAGATATAGTAGTTGTTATGGGTTTCTCTTTTTTCCCTCACCCTATAAATAAGAAAATTGCATAATTTGATATTTTCAAATACATGCACATATGAAGACTTAAAATACAGACAGGCAACAGTAACACACAGGTTTAGAAGGAGACAGTTACAGTTTGTTGTGTTCAAGTTCAGTGGTAAATCCAGATTTTTAGAACCTGAAGACTATGCAACTTAAGGGTCATCTTTGAGGAAAAATTACAAAAACATCTTATTTTTGCAAATGTTACTGAAATAAAAGATACTAGGGTCCCCTTCCAAGATCTTGAAATGAACTTAGGTCAGTGAGGGTCCCAAAGATTTACCCATAAATCTTAATGTCATTAGATTTATGGTACTAGCTGCTTATGCCAAATATCGTAAATAAAAAGTTCAGGACTTTCTCTACCTAGATGTGATCAACTTTTGTATGATGGTATCATGATTTAATAATAATTTTCTTGCTATCCATAACAATGGACATTTAACAAGCAAACCACTTGTGAAGAATTTACTTTAAAATCAGGACATTATAAATATTGGGGATTCCATTCATCACCTCAAAACTCATCTCAAATTTAGGTGTCACTGCAACTACTTAGCAAATTACCAGATTTGGGTGGGTTTTGATTGGGCTGGGAAGAGAATGGAGGAAGGGGTTCAGATTAATATGAAAGAGAGTCTATTTAGAGGAGAGATGCTGAGTGGGAACATTCTGAAAACTCAAGTTTTTCCAAATCATACTTTGTAATGATGGATCTGTTCTGTGCCATCTTCTGGTTTTCTTTACAGTGCTTTTACTTCTGATAACCCACACATAAACTTTCTATTTAATTTCATCCCCTCTGAACCCGAGCTGTTTCTTCACTTCCAGTCTTCCTCTCTTTCCCCAGCCTTACTTATACCTTTTAATTCATTCATATTAACCATCTTCCATTTTCTCACCTTATCCTTTATCCTACTCTTTACTTCAAGTCTTATATGTAGTTTTCTGGTGGAATCCTAAATCCCATAACCTGTCATCCTTATTAGTGTCTCTTCAAACTTCACCTTTGATTTATCTTTACTTTGTCTTCTTGCTTGGGACAATTAACTGTGCTATTGTATTCATCTAAGTTTGATAAATGAGTATTTTAAGATCTTTCCTAAAAGGTTTGAAGCTAAATTTTGTTGCCTTTAAGTCAATTAAAATTCTAGATTCACTTGAGGCACATTGAAGAAGTACTGAGACTCTTTCTCTTGTGGGTTTATTTAACATCAACTTCAGAATATGCCATTCTGCACACACTAAAGAGCAACACCTTAAAGCAAATTATGTTAACAATATAAAAAGGACATGCCCCATTGCTCAGTGTTGCCAGATCTCTGAAAAAATAAAGAGGGAAATATTTACCAAAGAGGTAAGGATAACAGGGACAACACTACAACACAATCCACTTATTTGAACCATTTTAGGCTTTATCTCCTCTTGAAAGAGGTAGGAAAAAGTTCTAGGAGAACAAGGCTTATTGTTTCCTGTGCTTTACCACTTTTAAGTCATAGTAAAAAATGGATCTATCATATGTTTCCCTTTTCACATTATATTGGCCAGTAAATTGGCCAGTAAAGTAAAACCAAGCAAAAATGGTCAACGTGGTAATTTGGAAAAATTCAGAATTTAAGGGAGGCTACCTTTCTACAAACTTTCCATAGTTACTTTAATCAGAAAATACCTTCATGTAGTCCACAAAACTTGGAACTCAGTAAATCTGAATGTCAAATCTGGCATTGTATCTGTTGAGTTGAGTGCAGAGTCAACTTTTCTCATGTCTTATAATGCTTATCTTTTATAATCACTGTGAGGATTAGATAGGAAAACAGGTATTTCCTTTATGCTTTATGCAGAATTTGATAGATATTATTAAAATAAGTCCTCTCTGGCCAAAATATCTTTCCTGACCTGAAAGCCAATGTTTGAACCTGCAGCACTGTCCCCACTTAAAATGTAGAAGAGTGGCAGTAAGGGAGGCTGGAGGGAGTCACAGACTTCATCTCCTTCAAGGTTTTTTTTTGACCTTTTCTGTCTTCTGTATATTTTACCTGAGGTTTTGCCTCACTTGTTGCTTGGACACAGTCTGTCTTTATCTTTACAAGTATAAACTTGGATACCCAATTCCACACCTCCTTCTCCTGGCTTTTCCAGATTCCTAGGTCTTGTTTCCTTATCCTCTTTCTATGAAGGTTTGTCGGATCACAGAACTTTACCACACATCTACCCAGAGTCTAATTCTAAGTCTATGCAAATGCCCCCCAGATCTCCCTGCCACCCTTAGGCACCTATTTGACCTTACCTCCTTCTGCCATCTTTTCTTTACTCAATTCCAGCCTCATTGGCCTGTCTGCTGTTCTTCCATCACACCTGCATGAACTCTTCTCAGGGCCTTTGAACTTGCTATTCTCTCTATAGGGAGGATGGGGTGGTAGGGGTGTGGGATGCCCTTCCCACAGGTATCCATGTGGCTAGCCTAAAGCCTTTGCCTGGAATATTACCTTCTCACAAAGGTCTTTCTCTCACTATCTCCATTCCCTTTTCTGTTTCATTTTTCTTCATATACTTTTGAGTATATAAGCTCATTGCCATCTCCTGCTCATACACTCCACAAAGGTAGGCATTTTGTCTGCTTGTTAACTGGTATAGCACCAGAGCCTGGAAAGGTACCCACTACCCAGCAGGTGCTCAGTACATCCTTGTTGAATGAATGAATGAATGAACGAACTAGCTCACTCCCTAGGAATAGAAAAGTGTTCAGCCTAACACTTTTAGGTTTAGATGTGTAGAGCATAGGTAAGAGCATAACCTCTAAAGCCAGACAGCCTGGGTCCATGTCCTGACTCTACCACTAACTATCTGGACGATCTTGGATAAAGTGTATAATCTCTGTGCCCCTTCGTTTCCTTATCTATGAAATGAGATTAATAATAGCACCTAGCCCATTAGGTTTTTGTGAGGATTAAATATGTTAATGCATATAAAACACTTAGTTTATTAGACTGTATTTTGACAATTTTTTCCTCTGGGCAGTAGGTACTGTGGTAGGTGATAGAGACAGTAGACGGTATAGACTCTTCGGGGCTTTTTTAAATTTTGTTTTCACTTTGCAAAGTAATTTTACTTTTTTCTCAGCTGCCTTACTCTGGCCTACTCATCTCAACCTCCTGTGTTTTCCTTCATACACATATTTCCTGAGGGGGGACAAAGTTATGGTTGCCTATTATAGTTAACTAGGTAATGCAACCTCATTAGTACTGAGAAAAAAATGTACATTGAAATTTTTTTGACTACCTCCTGAGAGCTATAGATATAAAATATGCAAAAAAGTTTGTAAAACTATAAACTTCAAGTCATCCCTAAGAAAGACTTGATCCTGCTCCTACACATTTCTTTGGGTAAATTAAACTGAACTGAAAAGTATGGGATGTCCTCCATGTATTGTATCAATTTTTTTCGCTCACAATACTGATTTGTGTACTATTTGATATTAAATTGCCTCTGTCACTTTAAAGCCTGTGCTAGGATTTTATGTAGTGAAATATTTTATTCAGAAACAGCTAATTTAAACTTATACATGTGTAACCTTGAAATGTACCTTTGTGCTAAAAGTTTACTAATTAAATTAACAGAGTGAATTGAATTGGACTGATATTCTTTAAATATTCAAAAATCCTGTTTGAGAAACTGCCTTCTGACCCTTAAAATAACTTTTGCAATGATTCATTGCATTTAATTACAAATGTATTTCATTAACTTTATTTAAAAAATCCCAGGACTGACCCTCTACTTGAAATCATATTTATTATGCCTTAATAAAGCTGAGTTGTGGGAGAAGAAATCATATTCATATAATTAAGGCAATACAATGACATTTTTCAACATTTTGTAGTTCAACTAGAGCAATATTTAGATTATTGACTAGGAATACAAACTAATGTTTATAAAGTGGAAGCTTATTTGTTTATTATTTTTGTTGCTGTCCAAACCAATGATTTTAGCACATGGAGAGGTAGAACCATTTTTCATTTAGCAAATATTCACTAAGCCCCCACTGGTCACCACTTTGTGAGGGGATAGCCCAGTCCCTGGTCTGAGGGATAATTTATAACTAACACTTGACTTCTGTCACTTTCTTTGTGCAGGTCATACAACTGGTCTCTCTTTAAATAATGACCGACTGTACAAACTCACATACTCCACTGAAGTTTTTATTAATCAGGGCAAAGGAAAAGTTCAAGACAGTGTGGGTTACCGAATTTCATCCAATGTGGATGTCGTCTTACTGTGGAGGAATCCTGATGGTGATGATGACCAGCTGATCCAAATCACGGTGGGCATTTTCTACCACAGAAGTGCAAACACTAGTTGTCAGCAAAGTCTTTGAGAAGTGTACAAGTTGATCGCACTTGTTTTGTGTTCTTGGTGGTATAAACACTGAGTTTGTTTTCTATCACTAAGACACATATATTTACAATTTCGAAGTTTTTGCTAATCAGGAGTGATTTGAATCTTTCCAAATTGTTGAAGTAGGCAAAAGAAGGCATATGCTGGTGAATTATTGGAGTATGGTGTCCAGTTCTGTGTGTCATATTAATAGACACATTAAACTAGAATGCATTTGAAATGTTCTGGAAGTGAAGGATCTAGAATCCATGTCATGTGAAAAACAATTGAAATTACTATAACTGAAAGAGATAAATTGGGCCTTCCAATTTTCCTAAGTTCCTTGATATAACAGGTGGGTTTACCAATGAAGGAGTAAATGTGTTCTGTATTTTAAGGAAAAAAACAAGTGCTCCTTTGCCTGGCAGTGTTGGTCAGTTATAATGCTGCAGATTTGTGGGTTGAGAGAGGAGCTCAAGTTAGTCTTTGGGATTTGTCCCAGTTTTAATATATGGTGATTCCATATTTACCTTTCAAGGACCTAAAGGCAATAGATTTCTTCAGTGAAGTCAGTTAATCTTTCACATATTAATGTGAAACAGGTACACAAAAACAAAATTTGCTTCATTGTAACTGATAAGTAGTTGCTGTTATATTTTATAATGAGCTGTAATTGCAATATATTTATCAAGTGATCTTTGCTTTTTTGGATGTCTCTAACAGCTGTTGTGTCTTCCAAATTGAATCAAAACTTCATCATCCAGCTGTTTGAGCCATTTCTCAATACAACAGTATTCTGCTGAAAATATTATGTATCCCTTGTTCAGTAATTACACTTTTCATCTTTAATTTTGTATATACAAGGGGGGAGGCTCCTTCCAAACAAATGGTACAGAAAGTGAAGAGTTTGGGCAGATAGTACCAGTTCAAAATGAATGAGTGACAGTGGCATAAAAAATCCATTTTCTAGTCATAATTATAAACTTGAAGTCACGGATTTCTTTAAGTACTGATATTTTTACCTAATTCAAAAACCTAATGGTTGAAGTTAATGACTAGGTTTTCTGAACCATGAATTCAAAAAAACAGAAGAAATTGCGGACAACTCTGTTTATTGCTTTTCCATTTTATTATCTAAGAGATCTGATGAAAACAGATATAGAAATCTTTCTAATATGTCTCTTTCCATGATATCAGATAAAAGATGTAAATGTTGAAAATGTGAATCAGAAGAGGGGAGAGAAGAGCATTTTTAAAGGAAAAAATCCATCCAAAATCATCAGGAAAGAAAACTTGGAAGCTTTGCAAAGACCTGTGCTCCTTCATCTAATCCATGGAAAGGTAAAAGTGATTTGGAGCTTGGGGGAGTCCCACATCTTTTTCTCCAACTTTGTATTTTTCTTTCCTTTACTAGATATTATTCTTAGGTGATCATGGTGTCACTATGTTTATGGTGAATGAAATTTTTCAAGAACTAATAAATATGTTGCAAAGTAAATGTTTCAGAAGTAAATCAAAGCATTTGATTCATTTATATTTTTTAGCCATTTGTGTTCCCTATTTTATAGCAATCATTACAGCAAAATCAAGTACTTGTTTATTAATGAGATTATTAGAAGGTGCATTCTTTATTAAATTAAGAAAGACTAGAAAGGTGTTGTAACACAAAAGTTCATCACAGATTATTAGATTCAGGAAAATAGACAAATTATAAGAATGAAATGATCTAACTTAAATAAGTGATATTAACTTGTTATAAGAGTCTCAATATCTGACTAAAGTACAAAATTGAAGTTTTTGAAAGGATATGGAACTTCTAAATGCTTCTTTTTAAAAAAAGGCATTTAGAGATTACTTTAAAATTATGACTTTGAAAAGCATTTTATACATAAAGTAATGAATGGACACTATACTATCTATCGAAAATTTACTCAGAAAATTCTGTAAGTGTGCATTACTTATGGTTTGGTTCTACCATATTAAAATGGTCTTAATATGTTTGTGATTGAGAAGCAATTGTGGTCAATGAATTATTAGGTATTACATATGTGAGTTTATGAAAAGTATAGTTATTACATTGATGTACATAAACACGCATTAATAAAGACGAAAGTTCATTTTTAGGAACTAAAGTAGAAAATAGAAAAGGACTCTTATAGTTAAAAGTCTACACATCTCTAAAGATTCTTTAGATTCAAAAGTTCTAGATTCAAAATAAAGATCAAAATAAATACTTTAAAATACAAATTTTAGATATGTAATATATTTCTTATTATGGTACATTTTTAAAAATAAAGTACTAAAAAGGAACTCACAAGAAGGATTATTATGTGGGCATTTCTCCTACAACCAAATATGAATCAACATTTCAAAAATGCTTCTCTTTCTTTTCTACTTGTTAAAATATTGAAAATGCTTCAGGTTTTGCTCAGGGGCCTTTCTTTTACAAAGCTGACATGCTTCTAGCCAGTTGGAGAGAATCAGTCCTCTTTACAACTCCCTTTGCACTTTGTAGCTCACTCAGGGTCCTTATCTCTTTCTTTCGTCATTGGTGTTCATTGCTAGGTTATGGGTTTATGGAGAGAAAATTTTCGTTCTTTATATTTCAGCCCTCCTTTCACTTTCATGCCCTTCCATTCTGTCTTTCTCAAAGCACCATGACTTACACTGAACCATGCCTTACACTGAACCATGCCTTACACTGACTGACCTGGTATTCCAGGAAGACTTTCCCAATATTCTCTCAAACTCCTTCCTCCCCTGGGCTTACTTCCATGAAAGCACTTATCACAGTGTATTGTAATCCTCTCTTTATTTGCCTGCCATCCACAACCAGAGTAGGCTTCTTGTGGGCAGCAATTATGTCTTTATGTATTCAGCACTTTGCTCATAGTGGGGATGCAATGAAGGCTTGTAAACTAAAGGAATGAACAAATAAGGTTATGGGGAGCTGAAACGAGTCTGATGTTGAGAAAGACTTTGCTTAATAACAGCTGAAAGTACTGAGCACTCAGAGTCCTGCACTGTCCAAAGGATATCTGCTTTATCCTCAGGAAGCAGGTGCTGCTTTATCGTTCTCTTGTACTAGGTGAGGAAACCAAAGTGAAGAGAAGTAAAGCAAGTCGCCTAGGGTCACATAACTAGCAAATGGTGGAACTGAAATTTAAAACAGAGGGTATAATTTTAGTTTTTTCAAGATTTTATTTATTTATATTTAGAGAGAGGGTAAAAGAGATAGAAAGAAACATCGATGTGAGAGAGAAACATTGATCGGTTGCCTCTCCCATCCTCCCAACCAGGGACCCAGCCTACAACGGAGGGTCTAATTTTAGAATCTATGCTGGAAACCACTATGTTATACTATCTTCTAGCTGGAAAGCATTTGGGAAAATACCGCCTCTTTTGTTGACTTGTAGCATCCCTATTTCGTTCTTCATCATATCTATTAACTCACTTGATTTTTGCATACCACAACTTTGTTAACAACATGAAATACTGTTATTTTCTTATCTGACCTTCCAATGTGGCAAAACGCTTGAGCCCATAAAATATAAATTGCATGTATAGCCTTAATGACAACCAATCATTTTATAGCCCCTTGGATTAACAGTTGAGTACAAAGTCTTTTGTTACACACACAAATGGACTCTGTGTCCTCACCATTCAAAGGCTGAGGTGGTTCTGCCACATCATTATTTCAGTAACTCCACTGTGCCAGTTCTATAGGAGCTATGACCTGTGATGATTTACTGTAGCCACAGGTTAAAGTACATTGTGCTATCTTTCAATTATATGATAAAGTACTTATCAGAAAAAAACCCATGACCCTGGAGACTAAGAAGCTATGTGTAATTTTTAGCCACATTACTGACAGAAAGATCATTATCTTAAGTCTCACATCAGCCTTACCATGAGAGAATTTGTGAAAGGAAAGATTGAATTGCTGATTGACAGTTTTCTTAAAGAGTCTCAAATTAAATTTTACTCCCTGAGGTTTCTGTGATTTCAAGGACGCTCATTAACGTGTATTTTTTGTCTTCCCTGAACCCCCTGTTTTAAGCTCCTGTATTTACATTATAAAAGAGAGCCAATTAAAATACTTACATACTTATTTATTGCACATCCGTTTTTCATGCAGTCATCTCTCCTATATAAGTATTTGAGCCTAACTTTAGTTTTGTCTACAAATCATAAATGAAGTTGGAAACACGATCATTTTCTGGTTAAGCGGATTAACACAGATAAGCAAAAGATGCGTCAAGTTACAGTATGGATTCTTTCTTGGCCTGAAATGCTAATCCAGTGAACTAGATAATCACAGAATTTCCATTTTTAGGTTTTCGTTGTCAGTATTGATTAAACTAACCACATGGCTGCTGAGTCGGCCCTTTATTTTGTGTTGTTTCCAGGCATTGATTTGCTTTCTGAATCTGGCAGTGTGGCTTCTGCACACACACTAAACCTCCAAAAAATGTGACAACTTGAAAATGTAATTATTCATATATTTCTTCACTTGTCTGTTTCCTACTTAGGCTCCATCTTAGATACAGATCAAAGAGCTGTTTAGAGACGATGCCAGCTAAACAGAAAAGATCAAATGACTAATCTCTGTTTTCTAGGATCCTTTAAAAAATTTTGCTGTTTAGCAAGTTAATGGAATTTTACCTTTTCTTATTCTTAAACAATGTACATAAGAGAATGTATAGAAGCATTTTTTTTTGCCCTAAGGAAAATATATGAATAATCCTTACTGGTTTTAAAGGGAAATTGACCCCCTAATTTTGCCAGGAAGAGGAACCTTGTCTCCTTGCCCACAACCCACACACTCTCTCTCTGTTTTTGGTTTTCTTGGGTTAAAGGATTAGTTTGCCACTAGGTTGTGCCACTGCTGGTCTCCGGAAGCTCTGGGGACTGTGAATTGAGATAAGAATCCTGTGCTCTCAGACGTTCACAGCTCATTTCAGAACTGAATGAAGAAATCAGTTTTATGGCCAGAATATAATAAAACATTCAGTTCCTGTTGTGAAAGAATAAATTTAAGATTACTGCTGTGATAGCCACTTGAATTGAACTGCCAAGTTCTGACTTAATTACTTTTTTTAATGATCAAAATCTTGCTTAATTCTAACAGTTTTGACATTTAGCTAATATGGATTACCAGGGCTGTCTGTTTGGACCTCTGTGTTCTGCACTAAGAAAACAGAATTTAGGCTTCAAAAGTAGCACTCATACAAGGAAAAAGAGACTTGACCACTTTTTTTAGTTCTAGGAAAATAATAAAAGCTAATAGAAAGAATGAAAAAAATGCTCTTCATGTCTCACTGTTTGTATCATTTAGCCTTGTAGGAAAATAAAACAGTCTCTACCACCATTTTGTTAGGCACCTAGCAGTCAAGGTCAAATCTTGATCCATAGAAGGGGGCTACTAACAAAAGAATACTTAACTTTGTGCATAGTACAGAAATTAAATCTGAAAACTGGGTTTCCTGAAATTTTAGGTCAAACTTTATAAATAGTTCAGGCACATTTTGTAGCCTGGAAGGAAAGTGAGGCTACTGATGATAAGTAAAAGTGTTTTTCCCACCTAATGGCTGCTCTTGCTTTCTAAAGTACTTAAAATTCAGGCCTAAAAAGTCACGAGCCATAGCATGCCAGCATTGCCAACCAGTGAGCCCTACTTACTATAACTGGGCTCAAGTGATCCAGGTATGAACCTACAATAGTCATGATATCTGGAGATATTATACTCTGAAATATTTGAAAAGGAAGTTACACTGTAATTCTGAAGAAGAAAAAAGACCCAGTTTATAGGTTGAAAAAAAAAAGACCCAGGTTGAGAACATCAGAAACTCAACCTTGGATCCAAGAAATTGTTAGTGGTTTGTTTGAGAATATGCTACCATCAATTTTCAGATGCTGAGATCACTTATTCCAGCTCCTTTTTAGCCTGAACAAACACAATTCCTCCATTTACAGGTGTGTCCAGTGTAATGACTAAAACTGATTATGAGTGGGATAAAGTACCCAGTAAATCTGTCATTAGGCAGTGTACATGTAGAAAATAAAAATGGAGGTTTGAGGCACTTGTTTGGATAATGCAGGCAACATACTCTCTTCTTTTAAGTAATGAGGGAGTTTTCATGTGGCTGAATTGTTCAGATTGATACTAATTGAATCCATTGCATAATAAATGAGCTTTCTGTTTTACTTGAGAAGTCATAGTTGGTTTTCAAGAAAAATAGGAAGGCATTCAGGATATTTCTGGTGGAAGTTCTCAGCTATAATCACCATAGACCTTAAGTAATTTTTACAAGGAAGCTTTATCCATCCTCTAGCTTTAAAACCCTGTGAAGTATCTGGAGTTAATACAGGGTAAAAAATGACAGACTGGTTGCCAGAAAATTTTCTTTGTATTTTTAGCTTTGTTTCTTAAACATGAGTTAAATTATCAAAATAGTATGAGACATTGTTATCATTCCTGTGCCTATAATATCCAGGATGAAACAAAGCTAAGATAAGCCATTTACTACTATAGTCAAGTCAGTTCCAACCTCTTTTTCCCTGTCTTCTAAAAGGAAACTCAAAGCAGTGCCTGGAGCAGGTCTCGGAGTGATAGCAATCTCAGCCAAAAATCTTCCATCCTTCTTATCTGCTCATAACTAGGGCCACTGTAAGTGCTGCCAGGGCACCAAAGAAAGTCCCCCCTGTGGAATTTTGTCCACAGGCATTATGGCCACGTCTGGGCCCTTGTCATAGCTCTTGGTGGCTGTGTTATCTCCGGAGTCTCGAGAGTGGTGATTGCCATTCTCTTCTAAAAACCTGTTTCTGTGCTGTTATTTTAAACCTTGGTTGTTTTTTGTTTCAAGCAGAGTTACAGGTAGAGATCATGTTGACATGTTCAAAGAGAATGTTCCTGATTTGCCTTCCTTGGGCAATCCTTGTTTTCACAGAGACACCAGCCTCTGTCAGCACCCTCTTTCCTTCCCTTGGGCTATGCCCACTGTGCTCGTTATCAGTCTCTTGCAGTTTCATATTCTGATGGTCTTGTTTCTGAGAAGTTTAAATAGCCCTTTTCACAACAAAAGAAATCCCAGTAAAAGATCTCTTTCTGCCAGAACTGAGAGGGATAAGAATGTGAACCTTTCCTGCCACTTATTTAACCAAATATGATAAATGATACATTTTTATTTCATTTACATTTATATTTATCCTTTTTTTTCCTCGTTAGGTCAAAGACTTCTATTCATATGAAAATGAACCTGTGGCCATAGAAAATCTCAAGAGAGGCCTGGCTAGCCTATTTCAGATGCAGTTAAGCTCTGGAACCACCAATGAGGTATTTACTAATATTATTAAAAATCCAGACTCTTATTTTTCAATAGGGTTACCTAAATTGTTTGTGTGGGTTTCTATTTGTAGGAAATCAGTAGAGAAGTTACTACTATGGTAAAACTCAGAAAAGGTGAGCTGAGTTGTCAAGTCTCACACATGAAACAAATGACCTTTTATGTGTACTCAAATATAGGGTAAAGGGAGTTGGACTCAGTTACACTGCGGAGACTTACAGAGTGACTAAAAGGTAGAGATGAGGAAAGCTTGGGGAGCATTCCAGTGGCATCACTTTGTATCACTATCCATTACAAATATAGATTCCAAGGATTGACTGTAGAGATTCTGATTTACTAGATTAGGAAGGACCTGAGCATCTATATTTTAACAGTTTTCTCAGATACTTTGAATGCATGATCAGTTTGGTCTATATGCATTGGTCTGTACCAACCCCCTTCACTTTAAAAAGGACCTGCAGTTAAACTAGAGAAATGACCTAGAGTTAAACTGTGGAATTGCAGTTCCTCCAGTACCACACCCAGAGTCAAAGGCAGAGCTGAGTCCAAGTTTCCTAGTCTAAATTCAGACAGTCCAAGAGTAAGGGAAAAAATCTTTTGGCGGGGCTGAGCCAAAGGAATGTTAGTTTGCTAGAATGCAGGCTGAGCATGGTGCTAACACAGGCTGGCTGTAAAGGTCAAGGAAAGCTAAGCAGAGTCTGTATTGGGATATATTTGCCTACACTCAGTTTGTTGATATATAAAGACTTACAAAGAGTTGAATTAATCCAACAGGTTTTTAAAGATTTCTAATCATACTCACCTGGTCAGAGGGCACACACACACACACACAAACACACACACACACACACTTACAAGCATACAGCCTAGACATAGCATTAAAAGTCAACTTCTCTTGCCACATAATGAGAATTATTCATTTACCAGAGGTGTTGATTTTGACCAGGCCATTTGTCCAATTCTTATTAGACATTAGAGAGAAGCAGGGCATTCTTTATTATTCCTTGGGCACTAAGAAAGCACCAGTAAGACTCAACCAAAGAGGATGAAAAAGGATCCATTTGCTGCAAGAAACACTGAATTCTTCCTGTTTTTCTACTTGTCAGCCTGGACAAAAGGCCACCCACCATGACATATTAGGGGCACCACTTTTCAAGCCAGTTACCGCTGGAATTCAAGTGGCCCATGTGAAAATCCTAATGACTATATTTTTCCTATTATTTTTAGGTAGATATCTCTGGGGATTGTAAAGTGACCTACCAGGCTCAACAAGACAAAGTGACTAAAGTTAAGGCCTTGGATTCATGCAAAATAGAAAGGCCTGGGTTTACGACGGCAAATCAGGTATGATCAAAACCACTTTCTCTGTAGGGTTGAGTTTAAAACAATAAAATAATAAGGTATTATATGTTGGGAACATTTATAGTTTTTAGTTTAGGGTATAATTTCACATATTATGAAATGAATAGGTTTATTTTAATATATGTTTGAATGATGCGGGAAGTGTGAAGGGGAAGCTCTTCTGAAGATTAAAACACAGTTTGATATTTGACTTAATTTAAAGGTAAAAAGCTGATTATATTTTATAACTATAAATATTTACTTATTTAGGTCTTGGGCGTTACTTCGAAAGCCACATCTGTCACTACCTATAAGATAGAAGACAGCTTTGTTATAGCTGTTCTTGCAGAAGAGATACATGCTTTTGGGCTGAATTTTCTACGAACCATTGCAGGCAAGATAGTATCAAAGTAAGACAATGCTAAAATTTTAAATTTTCTTTATTTTTCTTTTAGATATTATTATACTTGGTTTTAAAATATAGATGGTACTTCCTCATTTTGACTGAACTCATTGAAAACAGTAATGATATCTTGCACATCTTTTATTTTTTTTATATTATCTACAATAATTATCCCATGTATTAAATACTGTTTTAAAATAGAATTTCATTTAAAAATTAATAGTTTATTGAATATAATTCAAATTTTAAAAAAGCAATCTGCTTGATTTATTTTAGTTTATTTTCTGATTTCTCTGTCAAATTTTTTTATTTAGTTTTAAAAAGATGGTGGCATTTGCATGTTCTCTCCTTGAGATTTTTTTATTACTGTTGTTAAGAAACACATAAAAGGTTTCATAGTTAAGTAAATGTACAACATTTTTAATGTGACTTATAGTACTTACGTACTCAAGCTTGTTACTTCAATTTGAGAAAAGTTCTTTGGTCAGAATAGTTCTCACAGGCTTAAGAATTAGAATTTCAAATCTAAGAGTATGTGGTAGTTCAGGCATAAATTTAGAAGAGCACTATTTTAGCATTAAATGCATTATATTTTATGCCATTGCTTTGCAATGTTTTTTCTAAAGTAGCCATCATGTCAGAGTTGAATGGATGCAAAATCTGTGAGAAGTGCTTCAAAATCTTGAAATTTTATTGAAGTCTCATTTGGAGTAGAATTTTGTATTCTACTATTGTTTTCATATATTTTCATCTAAATTAATATGTTTCATTACTTATCAGGTCTATCAGGTAGCAACATTCAAGCTATTATTCTCTCTCATAAGTCTGGGGCTTGCCCTGGCCCACCAGCCATGCCTTGCTTGGTGTCTGTAGTGCAGTTGTAGGTAGTCACTGACCAGAGCTGGTTCAAAGGTTGCTCCTTCACCTCTCTGGTATCTGGGCTGAAAAGACACAAACTAATGAGGCTCCTCATACATCTTTCTTTATCTCCACATGGCTTCTCAACATGGCAGCTTCAGGTAGCCAGGCTTCTCACATGGCAATGACTTCTACAAAAGTGCATGTGCTGCTAGCAGGCCAGAGGAAAGCTGAACTCCCTTTTATGATTTAGCCTTAATAGTCACATAGTGTCACTTCTACTATCATCTATTAAACAAGACAATGCCTGGGACCCGGCCCAGGCCCAAGGGGGGAGGATGTAGACCCTACTTCTTTTTTTTTTAATTTTTTAAATTTATTTTTAGAGAGAAGGCAAGGGAAGGAGAAAGAGAGGAAGAGAAACATCATGTGTGGTTGCCTCTCACATGGCCCCCACTAGGGACCTGGCCTGCAACCCAGGCATGTTCCCTGACTGGGAATCGAACCGGCTACCCTTTGGTTCGCAGCCCATGCTCAATCCACTGAGCTACACCAGCCAGGGCTCGACTCTACTTCTTCATGGGGGAGAGACAAGTTTCTGAAAGAACATGTTAGACAAAAATACTATGGAGGCAATTTTTTTTTAAAATAAAGATTTTCTAATTGTCTTAGTTAATAAGTGACATGTGGTTGTATTGAAGATACCATTTTTACAAACTTGGCCTAAATTCAAAAAAAGTGACATTATATATCTTGTTTAGTATTCATGCAAATTTTCTTCTCTGTATTCTCTTGTTGTTATATTTTGAAAATCCAGCCTTAAATTTTCTATCTGTTACCACTGGAGAATTCACAACTTGAAAGACAAAGCCTTATACAACTTAAATAAATTAGTATCTTGTTTGCCAAAAAAATGGCAATTAGTAGCTTGTACACTCAAAAGAATGCTGCTCGTGTGATCTTTATCTACCTTCGTTTATATAGGCAGAAATTAGAGCTGAAGACGACTGAAGCAGGCCCGAGGCTGATGTCTGGAAAGCAAGTAGCAACCATAATTAAAGCAATTGATTCCAAGTACAAGGCCCTTCCCATTGTGGGCCAGGTCTTCCAGAGCGAGTGTAAAGGATGCCCTTCTGTAAGTGTGAACAGTTGCAATGTGCAGGCAAATATGGGAATAGTTATGGCTTAAAATTCTAATTTGCTTTTGTCTGCAGTGGAAGCTTCAACTAATTTTGTGAAGAAAGTTTGTGAAGAACTACCAGCCACCAATGAATGATGACAGTAGCCTAATTATATGCATCCAAGGTGATGCATAACACATAAATAATTAACAAATAATTACCATCCTCTCATCTCAAATAAAAAATGCTGTGACTTCAGGACAGCTTCATAAAAGTAACACCTAGAACTCAGGGATAATAAGGGCCCTAATGAGGTTGGGGGGATGCATATGGTACCAAGAGCACGAACAAGGGTCCACATCCTGAAAGCCTTCCACTTAGTAGCAATATGTCCACAGTGAAATGGATTACTGAGTCAGCTCAGCATTCCCAGTGTTGCTATGAGGACAAAAAAGGATACCTAGCCTTCTGCCTAAATTAAGGAATACTTCTTTATCACACTCCAACCTCCCCTACAATTATAGTCAGGAATGAGATAGCACATCCCCACAGCAAAGTATAGACCATCTTGTAACATTTTTAATCCTACAAAGAGAAATTTCATTTATTGCATGAATTACTGTGAGGTAGTACCACAGAAATTACTTTAGGGTCCAGCATTTCCTAATACTTGAACTGTTGTCAAGAGAAAAAACCCTTGGCTTCATATTCTGTTCACAAGGTAATAGAAGATGCTCTTCCCTTGGGTATTATTAGTGTTCAGTAAAGTAGAATCACCAAAAACTAATATAATAATTTGCTTAAAGTACAAGGCTCTAATCCCTTACTAGTTTCTCAAATACACCAAAGTTCAATCAAGGGAAAACAAAATGAAGCAGAAAATCATCAGTCACTCTCAAACTTTGTTTTTTCCTTTATTTGTTTTTCTTTCATATATCATTTAATGTTCCAGTATAATTTTCTAATGTCATCTAAGATAAAAGTTATTTAGAAAATGACTATGAAACCAATCAGCTTTACTTATATTGTGAACTATCAGTTTCTCCCCCATAGTTATTAAATGTTATGAACCATCTAAGATTTTTGATAACTGTTTCTTCATTATTATAGGAAGGATTTGTGTCTTTGAGGAATTTGCTTTTCAGAATAATGTTACCATTGCAACCCTTTAAAGAAAAAAAATCTGACTTCACATCGATATGCTCTCTCCTCAAAAATGACCCAGTAAATCTTTAGCTAAGTACAGCTGATATTTTTTCTTTGCAATATCCTCTTAAGATTAGATAACCAAAAGGGATTTGAAGAAGCAAATTATATCTTTTGCTTATTACAAAGAATGAATAATTTAGAAACTGGCAGCACACCAATTATCCCAGAGTTACAGTTGGAAGTCACTAATGGGATTTAACACCTTCTTGACAAATAGGGGGAAAGTGGTAAACTATCAAAAATAAGTTCTTTAGCTTATTTCAAAGTCAAATATTGTCATTAGTTAGAATTATTTATTATTTTCAAAACCACAGTAGCATAATAATAGTGTATGTGAGAATTACCTTTACCTAATTACTATTCTACTTACTTAGCTATTCTTACCTAGTCATTATTACTAGATATAAGTAATAGCTGTTCAGACCTTAGCAATAGTAACACATGGCATTTCATACACACAATACAATAAAGAGATACTAGGAAACTCAAATTATTACAAAAATGGATTCTCTGTGAATTCCCTGTATAAGAATTCTGATGCAATTCTTCAATAGTTCTAATATTTTTGCACTCTGAAATATTCTATTAATGAAAATTCTGCACAATTTCATTATGGTGGTCAAAGCCTAGCCTCAGATATACCCTGTATTTTCCGGACCATAAGACACACCTAGGTTTTAGAGGAGGAAAATAGGAAAAAAAATTTTGAAGCAAAAATGTGGTGAAATATTTAATAACATAAATAACATAATATTTCACCAGTGTAAATGTAAACAGAACTCAACAGCAGCATTAACAACCATTATTCCTCCCAAATTTGGAGGGGTGCGTCTTATATTGCGGAAATATGGTAACTCCCTAGTTGTAACAATGGAATGACCAAAATGCCTGGATGCCCATGGTCCTTTGAGCTAAATATTAATAGACAAAAATAGTGTCCTACAGAAGAATCACATACAAGGTGAGCAGGCCTCTATATTTGCCTCTGAGAGTCATAGTAGTGTGATATGTGCAGGGTCAGTCAGGTATATTGAGGTAAGATATCAAATACTTCTTTTGCTTGTCAGATACAAGGGAAAATTTATTCCTGGGGAGAACATGTCTTATAAATGTGGATATTCAAAATTATGAATGGAGTGTGAGCCTGCAGCCATATTTTGCAGCTCCAGGAGCACTGGCAGTCCATCAGAAAACACCTGCAGCCTGAAAACCTCTCCAAGGCTGAGGCTATCCAGAACTTCCTGGTCTTTATTCAGCACCTCAGGACTGCGAAGAAAGAAGAGATCCTCCAAATCCTCAAGGCTGAAAGCAAGGAAGTTCTGTAAGTTCCCTGAACATTGTGTGAGGTGGTCTGTAGGAGGTAATTTCCAAGTTATTGTTTTTTTTTTATTAAGCAAGAAAGACTTCTTTTTAACCAACTGCCCACCTCCAAACGAATTATTTGTTATTTTGCATTTTCTTTGACCAATTATGCCACAATGCAATAATTTAATGGTGACTCAACCAGAAATGCAATAACAAGTTTTCAGCAATGACTCAGAATAAACTTTCCTTTGAGTGTTTGTGAGTTTAAATCAGGTTCCAACTAGTCCATAGATAGGGGAGGGCAAGGCTTTATCATAACACCATGGTAACCATGCAGCCTCACTGTGTTTTTTTCATAATTTTGTTCTGGCAGCTATTAATTTACCGTTGAAAAGATTTCAGAGTTGATTATAAAAACAAAAAAACATGAAGTTTTCAACTGAAAAACTGTGCTTTATTAAAGATACAGTGATCATCCCAGCCAAAGCTATAGTTCATATGAGTTAGTGCGAAGTGAGGTAAACAGCTGACAGAATCTAGAAAAAAGAAATAAGTACCCAATTTGGATATTTGATGAAAGTGATTCATTTTACATGCACAATTAAGACAGTTAACTTAATTCTCAAATATACTTGGTCTGTATAGACAAGTGTTTTTGGTAGGTAAGATAGAATTTTCCTGTAAACACAAACTCAGCTGAATGATACTAATTATCCTAGTTGATGATATAGAACATGGCTCAATTAATTTGACAAATGCTGAAAAGAAGCCATTAACATAATCTAAAGTGGAAATTGCCATGACACCTACACACTACCCAAGCAGCAGTAGCACTGAGTTCAAAGGGCTCAGCTACCCAAGGAGAAGAGAATTTAGCTTTGTTTCTGACTAGTCTATTTATTTTTTATTGTGTGTTACTTGCTTGCCTTGAAGACATTAAAAAGTTGATAGGCATTCTATATAACCAACACTTCAAAATACATAACTCTCTTAAAGAATAAATATTTAAATCAAAAGTTAAAATATGTACAAAATCATAAATTTTCAGACTGTTTTAATTATAAAACTTTAAAATATACCTGCAGGGTGATTTGTCTTTACATCAAAGACAAAAATACTATTAAGAAAAGTGTAAAAATTAGCTATAATTTAGAATAGCAGTTACACTAAACCTTAACCTTATTTGTATCCTAAAAATCTTAAGGCAGCAATAATTTGGATGACTTTATAATGTGTTCCCTAATCAGATTATTTACACAATATTGTACCATAACCTATGTAACACGCATGTAGCACAGGGTTGTAGAAAGGTACGAGGATGAACTGAAATCAGAAGACTGGTTTTAAATTCTGACTTCCAATAGTGTATATAACCTTTAAGCAAGTCATTTACATTTTGCCCCTCTGAGCCTCACTCTCAACATCTGTAAATTACAAAGAATAATTCCTTTTACAACATTTATTGCAAGATAGTGAAAGGCAAGGTGGCAGAATGTGACATTTCCCTAAGTATCTATTATGTGTGTCTTACAATTTGCAGAATATTAATAAGTTTGCCAGGAGGAAAGGATTCTGTGAGCAACTGAGTTTGAAAAATACTGGGTGAAACCAAGTCAAATAGTCTGTTTGCTGCAGACATTTGTAACATCTTTAATCTGATAATTTTATGTATAAGTTTCCTTGAACATTTCCTAAACTTAAATGACCTTGAAAATATCTTTCTTAAAGCATCTGATAGGACTAGTGTTGTACAGAAATCACTTGAGAAATATCAATGTAATAATTAAAAGACTGTGAACTCCAGACTCATAAAAACCTGAGTTCTAATCCTAACTATACTCTTATCAGCTATGGGACCTTGAACAAATGACTTGATATCTCTGAGTCTGTTTCCTTGTATATGAGGGTAGTATTAAGCTGACAGAGAGTTCAGTGAGGTGATTGAATTAATAAGAGTATATATTTATACAGCATTTAAAATGTGCTAAGCACTATTTAAGTATTTTACATAGATTATATCATTTAATACTCCCAACAATCCCAAGGTATTTATCACTTTTAGCCCTAGAAATTAAAGCAAAGAGCAATTGCATACCTAAAATATCTAGTTCAGTGCTTGTATAATAGACACTTAAGTAGCTCTCTCTCAGACTCTGCTTCATTCACTGAGTTCACTGAGATTTGTTAGTTCACTGAGTTTTTGTTAGACAAATATATCTTTTTTAAAAGTATAAAGTAGTAAACACATGTGTGGTGTGCTTATATGGATCTGGAATAAAATATTTACATATATACTCTCTGTTTATTAGTATGACAACAAGTTTCTGAAATTTTATTATCCCAGACTCAACCAACCAAAGATTCTTGGTGACTAGAACATGTAACTAGAGGTTTCCTAGAGGACTTTCACTCTGCTCCTGCATGGCTGAACACTGGACTGTACCATGTGCATTTTATTTTTTTTTTAAAAGATGAAAACTTTCTCCCTTGGATATAAATTAAAGTTAAAAGAATTAAATAATAGTGCACTAGTTAAAGTAGGCATTTGAGAAATGAATATGTTTACAAAGCTAATTAGAGAAAGAGAATCATCTTGGAGGACCATAGATTTTATATATTATTCATATAGTAAAGAATTTGAACCTAATTAATAATTTTATTTATATAATTTTTATTTACAAATCTCCAAATTATATTTCACTTAGATTACTTTAATAAAATTGGTTTGTATTTTCCGAGTATACATTGAATAAGACAAAGGGGAGTTAAAAGAGACATTTAAAATAAAATGGGTGTGGTCTTTTTGAGACAGTTATTTTTTGTTCAAAATGTCTTTCAATTCATTTCCTTAGGAAATCCAAACCAATGGAGAACCTATAAATAGTAGAGATTTTAAGTAGTTCCTTAAGCATCCTAAACACTGATAATCCATAACTATGCCTTTTTTTATAGACCTCAGCTGGTGGATGCTGTCACCTCTGCACAGACCCCAGACTCATTAGATGCTATTTTGGACTTTTTGGATTTCAAAAGTGACAGTAGCATTATCCTCCAGGAGAGGTTTCTCTATGCCTGCGGATTTGCCTCCCATCCCGATGAAGAACTCCTGAGAGCCCTCATTGTAAGTCAGATGGACACTGGGGAAAATCAAAGCTCTCACCAGTAAAAAGCTCTCAAGAATCTAAGCAGTAGCTCACCTTTAAGTGGAACTTAACAAAACAAACAAGCAAGCAAAATATAACCAGAGACATTGAAATTAAGAACAATCTGACAGTAACCAGAGGCGGTTGGGAGGGGATAATGGGAAGAAGCGTTTTCAGGAGCAACTATAAAGGACACATGGACAAAACCAAGGGGGGTTGGGATCAGGGGAGGGAGGTGGGGATGGCTGGGGTGGGGGGAGTGGTGGGAGGAAAATGCAAAAAACTGTACTCGAACAATACCAAAATAAAAAAAAAGTTGGTAGCATCAGAATGAAGGCTGACCAAGAACCTTCTGATTATTCATATTCAAGTTCATATTCATATTCATATTGAACTATTTTCTATCCATTAATTATTAATTCTACAGTAAATTATTTTACATAGTGTCTTCTTTGCTATTCCTCTAAATTACAAACTATATGGAAATTTAAGTATTTTGTTTACCTTTCAATAATATAAAATGAAACAAAATTTCAGAGGGGAGAAGTCTTGGTTATGCTTCAAAAATTGATTTAAAAGTATTTGTTTTGACTTCAAAAGTCTTCATCGTATTTAATGCACAGTATTTGAAGAGATACAGTTCTTCCAATATTAAAAAATTTATTTTGAAAATAAAAGCTAGACTTATCTCTTGCCCAAATTTTTTTAATGTCCATTTATTCGCTTATGATTGAATTGAACAGTTCATAATCTTTTTGGAAAATGAGCTCATTTAAGAATCTGATAAAAGCAGTGAAGCCCTTTTTCACCCATATGCAAAATTTTACAGACCTTGTTTTTTGCTTTTTGGCTCACTAACCCAGTGATTCCGATCCATAAAATTCTAGGGAATTCATAGAACAATGTTAAGAATATCTGGAGAGAGGAGAGTCTATTAACTCTTCATTTCAGAGTTAGTGAATTTGTAAGTGTCTCCAAAGCAAAATTCTGAGTTTGCAATCTAGGAACATAACAATTTCCTCAGTCCCTGGTTACTTTGTTTCTTAACTAAAAATATTCTTTGGAAATGTTTAAAAAGTTTGGTAACTTCTTTTATCCCTTTTTGGCTAATAGAGTAAGTTCAAGGGTTCCTTTGCAAGCAATGACATCAGGGAAACCGTTATGATCATCATTGGGGCTCTGGTCAGGAAGCTGTGTCAGAGTGACGGCTGCAAACTCAAAGTAAGTGTGAATCTAATCTCATGTATTATACATGTGGTTCCAGACCATCCTATTTAACACTCACCATGTGCCCACCACTGGTGCTCCTAGTCCCCCTTACCCTACTCTACTTTCTCTATTTGCATAGCAATCATTGCCATCTAACATACCTTATAATTCAGTTATTTATTATGTATATTGTTTACTTCTGTCCCCGCTGAAATGTAAGCTCTATGCAGAATTAGATCTTCTTTTTTTCCAATACCAATTGCTTATAATTGTGTCTGGTACATAGACAATGCTCAATAAATACTTTCTAAAAAGTGAATAGTTCATTAATCCCCAATCAATATGTGTTTATTGAGTTCCCACTATGTATTCAGTTTTGAATGGTGTGTATGGTTTAATTCTCATTGCAGAAAAATATTAGATTCTAGGGCTACCTCCTAGAGCAGGGTTTTATCCATACTAATTGTGGTCTGCTGTTTTGAGTTTTGAAGGTGGGAATTATTTACTTCTATTTGCTTAGGACTTTACATTTTATCTTTAATTTCATTTTCTCGGAGCTTTTCCACTTCCCTGAGCTTTTCCACTTTCCTGGTTATCAATTTTAACATCTTTCTTGTTAAAATAAAACACTCACTTTGTAAGCATAACTAAATAATGAAAATCCAAATGGATTCATATCTAACATAGCTCATATTTCTATAATGAAAATAGATTAAAGATACTGAATACGTAAAAACATATTCTTTTTTCTGTCCACATTTATTACATAGTCAGCTTACAGTCAGCAGTTTTTTCTACCTTCAGAAGACATCACTATATTATTTTGCTTACTGAGTACTTGCTATTAAAAACAATATAAAGAGAATGTTCTTGAAACCAAGTAGTTCCAAAAGAGGCAACTTGTAACTAGAATGTAGACTAAGCATAAAAAAGATCACTAAAAAATGGCATTGAAAATGTTTGAGTATCAACTTTTTAAGATTATCAGAAATCAAACTTGTATAATTTTATATCAAAGAACTATGACTTCTTATCATATTTCTGAAATTATTTGAGTAGCTGGTTTACTTTAGCAATAATATATCAAATCATTTGTCTAAAGATAAAACTCACATATAAAAACATTCATTCAGCAGATTTAGTGAGTGTTTGCTCTGTGGTAGGTATGATGCTAGTCCTTTAGTATAAAGATACATAAAACATTCTATCATCCTCCAAGAACTAGTTTGTTTATCAAACACAAACAGATAACTATGATAATATTGAATTATAAAAAGAGTGCTCTGAGAAAACAAAAGATGTAACAAACTATCACATTTGGAGCTCTGGGGAAAGTTTCACCAAAAAAGTTAAATATTTGAGCTTAGTCTAGAAGAGCTTTGTAGGTGAAGAGATGGTAGTATAAAATGAAGGGCATCCTAGGAGAAATGCAACAATGTATGAAAAGACCCAGAGTCAAAATGTGTCTGGTATGCTTGGGAACAGTGAGAAACTCTGTGGAGATGGAGCACAAAATATATAATTTTGTGGGCAGATATGGTGGGAGTAGAGAGTCAGAAAAGAGGGAAAGAGAGAAAAGAGGTAGGCTGGATCTTTATTGATGACAAGCTAAGGAGTCTAGTCTTTATTCTATACAGAGAAGGAAGAACAGTATGCCTTTTAGCCAGGTGAATGACAGATTCAGATATTTTATTTTTAAAGAAGCAAAATGGTATATTGCCTGGGTGTTAGCTACTTTAGAGCCAGTGAGATCTGATTAGAGATCTGATTAGAAACATTTGCAACAACCTGGGCAAGAATTAGTAAAAGTCTAATTAATGTGGGAGCATTAGGATGCAAGGAGACTTTTAAGAGCCATTTGGGAAGTAGAGTCAAGGTATTTAGTCCCTGATGGGATGTGGGGAATGAGAAAGGTAAGGATCTAGATGACTATTAAGTTTCCAGGTTACGATACTAAATATATGGTGATGTCAACCACTTAATGTTTATAGAACTAGGTTTGGAGGTGGGAAGAGGGTAGAGCTATTAATTTGTTTTGGGTATGTTAAGATTGGAATCCTTTGGGCAACCAAGCTGAGCTACCCAACAGGCAGATGGTCATACCTGCAGCCCAGAGAGGAGTTAGCACCAGGAATAGAGAGTGGCTGGAACTTTGGGAGAGAATAAGAATACCTATCAGAGGCAAATAGCAGGAGGTGGAAGCTGAACAAACGGTTAAATTTAAAGTTCTGATAATGGGACACCTGGTTCTCATCACATCTTTAAAGCTACCTTGTTGGGAGCTGTGAACTATCCATTATCACTATCATTGAATTTTGTTAATGTTTTTGAGGAACTTCTTTTTAATGCACTTTTTAAAATAATGAGACTTGGCCACCAGATGGACTGTAGTAAATACTCCCTTCCATCCTCACCTACCTTTCTACTTAAGTAGTACTATTAGTTTTTGGTTTCTCCTTCCTGTATTTCTTTATGTAAGCAGATGTACACACACATTCTTATGTCCTTTTTCTTGCATAAAATATAGCACTCTGTGTACACTTTCTTGTATCTTAATTATTTTTCGCTTATCAATGTGCCCTAAAAATCATCCCATGCTGGTTTGTAGAGATCTTCCTCATTCTTTTTTGCAACTGTCTAGCACTCATTCTGTCCATGGAGCACAGTTTATACAGCACCTCCTATGTGTGATCATTAGGTGGTTTCCATTCCTTTGTTATTACAAATAATGTTAAAATGAATAATCTTAGGTACTTTTTTTATTGTTGGAATTGTAGCTTCAGGGTTAGAGTTGCTGGATCAAAAAGCATATTTGTTAACTTTTGCCATATTGTCTTCCATAAGAATCATACCATTTTATACTTCCACCACCAACATAAGAGAATACCTATTGCCCCATAACCTCAATAACAAAGTATGTTATCACATTTTTAATGTCTTTTAATCAGTTTGATAGTTGGCATAGACTGTTGCCATGGTTAGAGAAAATAAAGCATAGTATCTTTCCTTCTATTCACAGACCTTTTATTCTCTCCTCCAACTCCTCACCTCCTGCTACCATCCTGGTTTGTATGTGTGTGTTTGTTTTTGTGTGTGCCTGCAGTCTAATTTCAGAACTTACAAATCCTATAGATGAATTAGATCTTTGGAATTTTTATGCCAATGATAAAACTGAAGCCCCTAAAGCATACCTAGTGGCAAAGATAAAACCAGAATCTAGGTGTCCCTATTTCTAATTTGCTTTTCTATTAAACTATTAACTTGTACTCAATTCCTATTTTTCTAGGCCAGGAAAAACAGACTTTTCTGATTAAAGAACAACATTTGAAAAGTACCAAGCAAAGTACATGCTATAGAAGGCATTCAAAGAAACATATTTTTAACTGTATGGTAGTGTTAATAAAATTTGAAATCAAGTAGAAATAAGCACTTTTTAAACATTTAGTAAAACACACTACTTTCACCAAAATTGTCACTTAAGAAAACCGTTACCAGTTAGGCACCATCTAATTGTTGCTTTAGAATTTCAAGGAATTGGCAGTTTTAGGAATAATCAATCACAAAGGAATTTTTAAATGACTTTATACATTCTGAATGTGTTCAAAAGTAAGTGTGTTCATAACTATACTCATTGCTTTCTAAGAATATGTTAATGTGTGTATTTTTTAAAAAAACATCTTTATCAAGTTTGGCTTGTTCATCTTCATTGTGTGTCTCAGTCAGGCAACCAATGCAAAACTTTCTAAAATTTAAGTTGTTTTCTTGGGCCTAAGAGTGAAGTCAGTCATGCCCAAGCCTTATTTAATGCGTGGTTATGCACATGTCTGAGGTGGTATGTGATCTTTTCAGGGAGTGGTAGAAGCCAAGAAGTTAATGCTGGGAGGGCTTGAAAAAGCAGAGAAAAAAGAGGACATCATGATGTATCTGCTGGCCCTGAAGAATGCCCTGCTTCCCGAAGCCATCCCACTCCTCCTAAAGTATGCTGAGTCAGGAGAAGGGCCCATCAGCCACCTTGCTACCACCAGTCTCCAGAGATACGATGTCTCTTTCATCACAGATGAGGTAAATCCCCCAAGAATATTTGCAAAATTCACCAAAGGATAAAAGCATACCCAAAAATGAATCAAATGCAAACACCTTTGAAATCATCCTGTTTTTTCCAAACTACCAATTTCTCTTTCCTGTTTAGATATACCTCTTAAATTGGACTTAAGGCTATTTTGAAACAGCCTCACCTTTTGAACAGATAATGTCCTATATTCTGAAGCATAAATATTAAAGCATATTCTTTTACTTTAAGAAACAAAGTATTTTCAGAAATATATTTATTTCCATAAATTTTAAGGTTCTATTAAATTTTTTGACACTAAAATATCTTGGCTTGATTATTACTGTATTGTTTCTTATTGCTATATTTTCAGGAAGCTATCTAAATTTAACTTTTATTTGGGTAGAGAATGTTTGTAAACCTTAAGCTAAACTGCCTGCTGAGAATGATGTTTCCAGTTTGCAGATAAAGAACCTTTCCATAGGTTTTCTGTGATAGGCTGCAAAACATGATGTTTAGGGTCAGGGGCTAAACATCACACAGACCTACATACAAATTCCGGCTTTGTCCATTCCCAGTTGTTTGCACTTAAGTGAGTCACGTAACTCCTCTTTACCCGAGAACAAGGCCAACATTTGGGGAAAGTAGAAAGAGGCAGAAGAAAGTAGAATTGGAAGAAATATTTATAAGTACCTTGGGCAGAACACCACAGATTGTATTATTAGGCAATGCTTGCAAACAACAGAATTATTTGTTGCTACAGAATGAATTAAGGCAAATTTTCTTTGGTGTTAATGTATTATTTTGTAAAAAGTCCTCTAATGTAACCTATGGACTTTCAGTGATACTGAGGTGAAAAGACGGGTTCATGGAATGTAGTGAATGACCACTGTGGTGTAGAGTAGAGGACGAGGTTGTGTGAGGAGTGGCAGGGGGTGAGGAGCAAGGGCATATAGGAACTTTCTGTACTTTCAGCTCAAGTTTACTACAAACCTCAAATTTCAATTTGCTCTAAAAGTAAAGGCTATTAATTTTAAAAAGGAGAAGATTCTGAGGTACTTCACTGGAAAGAAATACCAGTCCATACAGCCATCTTTCCCCAGAGCCCTATTGCCACATGGCAGTAGTGTCTTTTAAAAAATCAATAGTAAGTGATATCATGATCTGCTAAAATAACAAATGAACCTCACAATCTCAGCTTATCAAAAATGTATTTCTCATTCATGTTATACCTACTGTAGGTAATGGAAAATGTGGCCCTAATTTCACTGCAGTAGTGAAAGAGTTGGAGAAGGCATACCAGTTCCTAACTGCCTCAGCCCAGAAGCTACCCAAAGCAATTCTGTTTATGATCCAGTAGCCAGAACTATGGCCCCAACCTAACTGCAAAGGAACCTGGGAAATGTAGGAATGTGTATTAAGAGCACTAACTATGCCTGCCACAATATCAATGTTAAAAATCTAGATGTGCACTAACAAGTTTGAACATCTTATGAACAGGTGAGGAAGACTTTGAACAGGATATACCATCAGAATCGTAAAGTTCATGAAAAGACTGTGCGCACAACCGCAGCTGCTATCATTTTAAATAACAAGCCATCCTACATGGACGTAAAAAACATCCTGCTCTCTATTGGGGAGCTTCCCAAAGAAATGAACAAGTACATGCTTTCCATTGTTCAAGACATCCTACGTTTTGAAACACCTGCAAGGTAGGACACAGTGCACCAATCTCTCTGCTTGCTCAGGCTTATCTGCGTACTTGTGGAGTATACCTGTCAGTAATAATAATGCTTTGGCCGTTATGCTGGGTTGTGTTATATCATCAAAGAGTTTGAGAAATTTTCTGTATGAGGACTATTTAGTGAGCCAGATGAAACAACTTCACTTTGGCACTATGATTTGGAATTCCAGGTATGATTTTTACTCTATGTCTTCTGCTCAATCTGGTACCTAAATATTGCCAAACAGTCATGTTTTAAAATCCAACTATATTTTTAGTAGAACTATATTTGTAAATGGTACAAAACAATGTTAAGTTCTCACAAAATGGTCTCTCAAAAAGTTCTTTCTTAACTTTCCAAATGTTAGAAATCTTTGAAGCTTTATGTCACAGATAAAAAGAATTTACCAGTTTAAATTTAAAACCTTAGTCATGGCCCACGTTTCAGGACTACTCTGGGTGTGCAGAATGGGGTGAGGAGACTTCACTGCTCTCCATCCCTCTTACTGGGCTGTCTTCCTGCTGGTTCCCAAGTCTCTTCTGAATTTGCTGATGTCCCTTTTCAAAGTGGTTCCCTTGAAAACTCTGTGTTTCCTCCCTGAAACAGAGGGACAGAAAAGGAATTTCCATTTCCTGTGAGTTACATGCAGAACATGTAAAAAAATCAAATTTGAGCATTACCAGTTGGAAAGGAAAACAGACATGGGGAGGGAAGAAAATGAAGAGAAATGGAAAAAAATAAAAAAGCAGTAAAGAAACTGAAGGAAAGAAAAACAAGGAATGAGAAGGGTGTAGGAAAAAGAAACAGGGGAGTGAATAGAAGCTAGAAAAGATCAGGACAGATAAGGAAGAAGGAGCATGAATGAGAGAAAAGAAACAGAGCCCATTTGCCAACACACATTGCAAATGGAGGATCTGATGTCTTTTATTGCTGTGTTTCCTCTGTGTGACTGGTGGGAGAGATCTGGGTGGATTTGCTGTCCTTGTCTTATGAACCTAGTGATTTGGGGACAATAAAGAGGAAGCAGTCTTCTAGAGAGCAGCCTAGGAAAGGCAAAGAGGCCATCAAAAATACTGCAAGTCAGATTCTCAGAACCAAAAACATTAAAGGTGTCTTGCTTAGTATCTCTCCCCGGTGTGGGGGTCCAGTCTCCTGGCAGGTGGCAGGAGGATCACCTCCTCTGAGGGAACTTGTGTCATTGTGCAGAGACTCACTATTACTTTTTTATATGACCAAAATCTTCCCAGTGGCCCTGGTTTTGTCCCACATCTAACAATTTATCCACATACCGGCAGGCCCTTTGACTCTCTGAGGAAAGCTGTCATGACTCTCCTCATCTTTTCTTCTCCAGGCTAAAATCTTGTAACTCAGTGATATTGGGGGTAAAAGACTATGAGGTAATCATTCTCTCCTTTCAATAATTTTCTACCTCAGATCCAGGTCCATATCCTTTAGTGAATTTTGTTTTGCTGTATTGTTGTAATTTTATAATTACTAATATGGTTAGAATTAAGTCAGGAATTGAAAGATCTCAATACTAATTAGATAAGTAGACAAGTTAGAGGCATGGGGTAAGGTTCAAGACTTACTATAGGGGGGAGAATAGTTTATATATAGATATAGCTGAGAGTTTTTAAAATTTAAAACTGCATAAACATAGAAGAAGTTTCTGGAAATTTGCTATTATATATAATTAGCCAGCAATAACATTAAAGGGTATAGGAAAATATTTAAGGAAATATTGGCAACCTCTTCAGTTTGGTACAGCTTTCTTTAAAAGTATATACTGTTTAATGATGGAACCAAGATGATTCAAAGAAGATGTGCCTTCCACTCCTGAGGAGTGCACACCGGCACCTCAGCCTTCTCACAGTTGGGTGTCCTTGCCCTGCTAAGGAATGAGGGGGAAGCCCCACCATGCCTGGTGCTGGCACTCCAGCTGGCACCTCCCCAGACTTGGAGCAGCATAAGGAACATTTGGCCTCCTGTATTTTCCACTGAGTATATGGGTTTTTTTCCCAAATCCAACTCGGAAACAGCCATTACAATGAATGTGCAGCTTTTTCCTTTTATGTGTTGCAGCAAAATGGTCCGTCGAGTTCTGAAGGAGATGGCTGTTCATAATTATGACCGTTTCTCCAAGAGTGGAGCCTCTTCTGCCTACACTGGCTACATAGAACGTATGTAACCCAAAAAGGGGTTCTTCCTCCACACTCTTCCCTAGCTTGGTGTTACTGGAGCTGTTACTAAATTACAGGGCAATTTTTTCTCTTCTTCTTCTTCTTTTTTTTTCCATTAGGTAGTCCCCATTCAGCATCTACTTACGGTCTTGACATTCTTTACTCTGGTTCTGGCATTCTGAGGAGAAGTAACCTGAACATTGTTCAGCACATTGGGAAGGCTCAGCTTCATGGCAGCCAGGTAACTAATTTTCCATTAATTTTGCCGAATAAAATATATAAAAATTAGTCAGAGGTAAAATAAGGTTTTATATAGTTGGTATCACTATAGAATGCATAAGTTAACAGTGGTTTCTGCCATATATCACCCATGATTCCATCATCTGCAAAAGGCTATATGGTTTATAGTACCCAAGAGAGTTTCAAATATGAACTTGAAATCTAAGTAATTTGATTCACTAGGCTTGCCAAAAACCCATTTTTCTTTTTAAAGGTACACATATTCACAGAATTGAAATTGGGCCAGTATTTTCCACATATGTTTTTAAAAATATTTTATTTTTATTCACAGATATATTTCTTGGAGCCCCAGATATATAACCCTAGAATATAATTTCTTTCCCTGGGTGTTTCTATAAAGAGATTCATTCCCCATAGTAAAATCTTTCATAACAGAATATGCCTCTATAAAGGGGCCAATCTATGTTTTTCAAATTCTGCTGGGAGAGAAAAGAATAAAGTGTAGGCATTGACAGCTGGTATTCTTCCATCCCTTTCATTTTACCTAAAGTTTGGTGACACTCTGTAAAAGGATTTTTAATTTTGAAATGTGTTTTCTTTTTAGTTTTCACATATATAAAATCATAACCTCCTAAGTAAGCTCATTTAGGCTTTAATGATCCATTGCTATATAAACTCGAGTTCCTATCAATATGGTATTACTACCCCCTCTGATAGGACTCTAGTCAGAATACTATGCCTTTCTATCCTGAGGAATGACCATCTGTTTCCTGATACATGCTCTGAAGTGACAAACAGCCAGTGGTTAAGGGGCTTGGTATGGAGGTCAGGGCATATGTAGGACTCATGCCTGACAGAGATCAGGGTATGAGCCACCTCGTGGTGTTCGCTGTGTTTTGTTTGAGGAGAGAGAAAGGTTAAAGCTGAAAGGTGTGAGTCATGGCTGAGAGAGTTCTATATTCTCTCACAGAAGCAGCCTCAGGAAGACTGTCCCAACACCTGTCCACCTCCTTTTGGGGCTCTACGCAATAGCTGATTCATTATGTATGACAGTTCTGGAGAGACTAAGAGTCTCTGGGATGACGTCATAAATGGAAAACTCATGGCCTTTGTAGTTAGGCAGAGGGATTTGAATCCTGCCCCAGCCATTTGAGCTTTTATTTATTTTGTTTCACAAAGAAAATGACTAAAATCGTATGTACCTCAAAGGGCAGTTGTGTGGATTAAATGAAGAAAACTAACTCACCTAATATTCAGTCATACCATCTTTTTTTGTTTTTTGTTTGTTTGCTTGTTTGTTTGTTTTTTTCCCTAACTGCTAGAGACTTTTTGAATTATTAACCCCCAGGCAAGTTTTAGCTGTAACTCACTATCCCTTACAGAACAGGCATGGAGCTGATGTCACAAATGTTATATCCATCTTTTCCTAGGTGGTCATTGAAGCCCAAGGACTGGAAGGCTTAATTGCTGCCACGCCTGATGAGGGGGAGGAGAACCTTGACTCCTATGCTGGTCTGTCAGCCATTCTCTTTGATGTTCAGCTCAGACCTGTCACTTTTTTCAATGGATACAGTGATCTGATGTCCAAAATGCTGTCAGCATCTAGCGACCCTGTCAGTGTGGTGAAAGGACTTATTCTGCTAATAGATCATTCCCAGGTAATTCATTCATTCTGCAAATATGTGTGGGATTCCCAAAATGTGCCAGGCACATTTTAAATTTGCTCTGTGCTTAGACGATACAAGACAAAGTTCCACACATATTATAGCCCACATTTTAAGCATTCAGCCTTTTGGTGTTGTTGCCCCCTTACTCCTTTCTTTTTTTTGCTATAGGTAAGCTGGGTTTTCTTTTGCCTTTATTAAGCAATTAACATCTCTTCTCACTGTTGAGGCAAAAGAGAAAATGCTCCATATAGTGAGTATAGTACAATATCAATTATATCTCAATACCAATGCTAACATAAATAAGAAATTATGAAGGAAATAACCTAAGATAAACAGAGCAGAGATGGCATTATCTGTTCACTTGGCTTTCCTGGAGGGCTTAGATATTTATCTGAAGTCAGGAGCTAAAGCACATGGCTTCATAAGTTTCTGTTGACACTTATCATGACAAGGATGATGAAGATCCATCTAATGCATCATTTTGACTCTGCCACATCAGTAGAGGCACAACCAACCATTGACACCAACCACATTTCATGGAGACTTTTTGTTCCAAACTCTCATGGTAACAGAATCTTACAAAGATCACCATTTATTAGTAGAGAATAGAAGAACTTTCATTCATTTGAACTGCATTCTTCAGAATGGTTTTCAATTTTCCTCACTCCCAAATCTTACATTACTGTGATAAGGTATGACAATACTATCTTCTGCACAGTAAGATTTAAGTGACCAAGATACTATGGATGGCAGTGGTCGGCCTCAGTGGATTTCCTGAGACACAGATGAGGGTTAATCTGAATAACCTTTGAGTTCAAATGTTTGATGCTTAAAAATTTTTTTAATGGCTTGATGTATTTCCTGCCTTACGAAGCATAGCAATATAAAAAAATGGAATATTTGTTAAATAAGGATCCTAAAGGAAATTTTTAAAGTGATCACTTTGTATTCTAATTCATACTTATGATTTTAGAGCTAAATGAGGAGATTGGATTAAAATTTACAGACTATAGAATTTGCTTGGGAAATTTGCTTTTGTGGTTTAATAAATTCATGAGTAATATCCTAGGTTTGAATTTTGCCCCCAGTAGTTACTTTCTATGTGTTCTTGGGAAGTTACTTAATAGCTTTAAACCAAGATTTCCTACTAATGAAGTAAGGCACTTGGAACAGATGATCCAAAGTTTTTACCAGCTTTGTTCTTTGGCAGATAATTTGATGATTCTGATTTGTTGGGTTCTGGTTAGGAAACCATAGATTTTAAGACCTGGGAGAGACCTTAAATATCAGATTTTACTAAAATTCCTCCAAAACATTATAGGTTAAAACTAAGTGTTAATTTCCTATCTTTATTATTCCTCATAATAGTATATATTATGGATAGCTATATATAACAACAACAACAAAAAAAAACAATTTAGGGTAGCTGAACCAAATAGTTTGACTTTTATCATGTAACAAATATTTGGAAGTAGTAATCTAGTAGGTAATGTGTTGATATAGAAATCCTAAGATCTTATCAGGATCCAGGCTCTTTTTCTCTCAGCTTAGCCATCTTTACATGTGGCCATCACCTCATGCTTGTCACCTCATGATTATCATATGGCTGCTGCACTTCCAGCACTATCACCTTGATCCAAGAAGGAGGAAGGGAAGGGTGACAGGTAGTAGAGTCTGAATCTTTTTTCAGGAACTTTCCTGGAAGCCCTATCTATTCCTACAAAAGCTGAGCATATACAAAAGGAAGCCCTTTTGTTATTGACCAAAAGTTTGTTATGTGGATATCTCTAGCTGCAAGAGAAGCTGGTAAATATAATTTTTCAATGGTTGAATAGACACTCTGACTATAACTGTGTTTTTATAAATATGAATGAAAAGAAAAACAACCAGCAGTGCCTCTTACATGCCTTAATTCTCAAGGTCACTCATGAAAAAAATAATTCTCATATTACATCAGAATTATACACTGTACATTTCCTCTGCCATATTACCTCTGGGGAGATTCATTCTTAATAAAAGAATCTCTGAAAAAGGCATAAGAGTGCTGAGAATTTAGTTTATATTTTAAGATATAGGAGTAATTATAGCTTGACACCATCTGTGTGTGCTCACCTACCCATCAACAATGCCTAATGGTCTAAATCCAGGTATAAAACTTGATGCAAACATAAGTAGTAATCTGGACCAAGGTTGACAAACTTTTTATGTAAGGGACAGAAAGCAAATGTTTTAGATTTTGTGGACACATAGTTTCTGTTGCAACTACTCAGCTCCACCATTATAGAGTGAAAATAGCCATCAGTGATACATTAACAAATGAGTGTGGCAGTGCTCCCAAAATTTTTTATTTAAAAAAACAGCCAGTAGGCCAGAATTGCTTGCAGGCCATAGTTTGCAACTTCTGATCAAGATTATTTTATAAGGTTTTTCTATTCATTAAGCTAGGTCACTTAAGGCATATTCTAAAAGATAGGTCATCCCCACACTATTAATATAACCCAATATCTGCAAATTTCAGATTGGAGTATTTGGCAGATCTGAGGTAAATATACAAATAAGCTGTGTTAAGCTCCCTGCTCTTCAGGGCACCCAGTAATGTCATCCCAGCTTCAGAGACACATACCACTCCAGGTCAAGTGCTGACATTGAAGGAAATTTTGGCAGTGGGTGGCCTGTCACAGCCCAGGGCAGATGGAATTACTCTGTACATGCTCTGTTTTCAGCTCATTGGGTTACTCTTCAGAGAAGGATGTCTGATAAAGTCAGCTTAAGAAGGGAATCCTCTTTAGTCAGCAAAGAACATATTTTCCTGAATGAGAGGAGTGGAATAAGTTGTAAAACTATCACTGTTTGACCTGTAAGAAACACCTTTAAGACCAAAATTAAAAGATCAAAGAGGTCACATTGGCTACACACACAAAGCTACAGTATCTTGTTCATCTAGTTCATAGGCAAAAATTTAAATAAATATGCAGTTTGGGTGAAACAAGGACATAGATTATGCTCTACCTTTTTTCAGTATTCCTTGAAACACGCTTCCTTGCACATCAGGAGACAAAAGACAGTCATGATTTTGTGATATGCATGGGTGAAAGTGGAATAGTCTCCCCAACTAAAAATAGTCTGGGTGCTCATTCTGGCTCCACATGTAATCTCCAAGCCTGACTTTTCTTTTCAGTTTTCAGATATAATGCCTACCATGGGAGAATAGTATGGGAATTACATGAGTTGTCAAATGTAGAGCTTTTAGGACACAGTTGGTGCTTAAACTGTTAATTCCACTTATTTTATACCCCTCAAAAATTAGAACAACTGCATTATGTGGTTCAGTCCCTTTCATGATGTAAAGAGTGGTCTGTCCTTCTATGGGGGTCCAAGAAAATTCCTCTGTCACTACACATGATCTCTTTACATGAAGGAAATGGAATCTCCAAAAGCCAGGGCACTCTTCAAAGCCAACAATGCAAGGAAATACTCTCTCCCCACAAAAGGCACATTGTCTAATTGCTAGGAAATGTTCTTTCCCATGGCACTTAGTATGTTTTGACATCCACTAATGTATGGTCAGTAGGAAAGCCAAATCCCACATCACAGACCTCTGCTGGGTGGGGTAGGTTAGCACAATCATAGTTTTTCAAATTGGGAGCAAAGAAGAAAACACAAAGAACAAAGTATTTCTGAGTCAGGGCACATAGTAGGACTCATTTAGGAACAATCATAATAACAGTGCAAGTGCAGAACTCTGATGTTTTGGTTCTGCCATTTATAAGCAAAAGTTCAACTTTGAACATGATTATTGTGGTTTTATCAGGGTAATTTGTGTTTGTTTAGATTAATGTCTTTAGCTCCATGTTGAAAATTTCATTTTTTCATCCAAGTGTCTATCTGACTGAAGTAACTTCATGTCATAATCAGACATTTTTAGTGCACCTGGTTGTAAACCAAGTCCATTCACTGAAATTTCCTGCCACAGTTTTTGGAAAGTTGAGATAACTCAAGAAGATCAACAGAATCTTTTTTAGAAAGCAAAACTATGTCATTTATAGTTGTTGAAAACACAGCTTTTTGATCTGAGTAGGGCAGTTACATAAAGTTGGTCATGCTGTCAGTTGTTGTGAACCTAAGATCTTTGAAGCAATATCAAAACTAAGGATTTTGAGGCTTTACTCCTAAACAATTATCATTAGCAACACTGTCTCCAGACAATCTGATTCTAACCCAGTTGAAGAAGTTTCAGCCAATATCACCAGAGATACATAGAAACTGCAAGACTAAGGGCAAAATGCTGGTAAACAGAAACAAAAAAAAACGAATTTCAGACTATTATAACACTGCTTGGAAGGAACTATGTTTGCAAATGAGTGCTGTCCCTCTGGAATCTGCTGTTGAGTTCGTGTTGGACTCCACATGTTAATTTGATGTCATTCCAAATGTCAGACAACAGGGTTTGGTTTAATTGGCTTGCCTTCCTTTCCTAGCTTAATCTAGGCAATTTCTGTAATTTTTATATTGCATTGGCAGTTTTTATCATGCTTTTCATTTGCTAGCAGGATGCTGTTGTCCATATTTGACACAGCATATAACTAATTAGAAGAGTGCTAAAGGACTTTAAGAGGTCATCTAGCCCAACCCCTTGCCCCTAACTCAAAGCCACTGCTGGATTACTGATGGAGATGCCTTCATTTTCCCTAAAATGGTGGTTCCCAAATTCGAGTGCATCAGAATCACGTGAGGACTTATTACAACACAAATTGCTGGGTCCCACTCTCAGAGTTTCTAGTTTAGTAGGTGTGGGACTTGCATGTCTCACAAGTTTCCTGGATGCTGATCTTATTTTTCAGGGACCACCCTTTGAAAACTATTTCCCATCCCAAAGCAAGGCAGTGATTAAAAGAAAACACCCTTCTTAATTGTCCCTTTACTTTTCTAGTACCAGTATTTAATTGACATAATTTAGCAAAGCAACAATCTACTTCTGGTGATCAGAATTAGGATGTGTTTCCAAACTTAGAGAAAGTCCCCAACACTAACATAACACAAGTAGTATTATCTACAGCAGGAGGTTAAATGTGTCTGTGGAAAGGGGTTGGCTGAATTGTAATTTTGTTATCATTATATATTTTGCTCTAGGAGCTTCAATTGCAATCTGGATTGAAGGCCAATATAGAAGTTCAGGGTGCTCTAGCCATTGATATTTCGGGTGCAATGGAGTTTAGTCTGTGGTATCGTGAGTCAAAAACACGAGTGAATAATCGGTAAGCATATGTATAATGCTTTATGCAAAGAACTGCAAAAATTAGTGTTATTTTGGAATTGTTTAACCTTCTGATTTTTCAAAATCTATACTTTGCATTTTCTTATTTTTATTTTTTATTTTTATTGAATTTACTGGGGGTGATATTGGTTAATAAAATTATATAGGTTTCAAGTATACGATTCTATAATACATCATCTGTATATTGTACTGTGTGTTCACCACCCGAAGTCAAGTCTCCTTCCATCACCATTTATCCCGTCTATACCCTCTTTTACCTCCCCAGACCCTTTTTTTCCTCTGGTGATCACCACACTATTTTCTGTGTCTATGAGTGTTTTTTTTTTCTTTGCTTAATCCCTTCATCTTTTTCACCCAGTCTCCAACCCTCCCTCCCCTCTACAGCTGCCTGTCTGTTCTCTGTATCTATGAGTCTTTTTCGATTTTGTCAGCTTACTTTGTTCATTAGATTCTGCATATGAGTGAAATGAAATGGCATTTGTCTTTCTCTGACTGGCTTATTTCACTTAACATAGTGTTCTCCAGGTCCATCCATGCTGTCACAAAGAGTAAAATTTCCTTCTAGTTTATGGGCAAGTAGTATTCCATTGGGTAAATGTACCACAGCTTTTAAATCCATTTATCTACTGATGGACACTTGGGCTGCTTCTAAATGTTGGCTATGGCAAATAACACTGCAATGAACATAGGAGTGCATATATTCTTTTGAATTAGTGTTTTGGGTCTCTTCAGATAAAATCCAAGAAGTGGAGTCACTGAGTCATAAAGCAGTTCCATTTTTCATTTTTTTGAGGTAACTCCATACTGCTTTCCACAGTGGTTGCACTAATCTGCATTCTCATCAATAGTGCACTAGGGTTCCTTTTTCTCTACATCCTCACAAGCATTTATTGTTAATTTATTGATGATAACCATTCTGACAGGTGTGAGGTGATATCTCATTACAGTTTTAATTTGTATTTCTCTAATGATTAGTGATGTTGAGCATACTTTCATATGCCTATTGGCCATCTGTATGTCCTCTTTAAAATTATCTATTCAGATTCTTTGCCCATTTTTTAATTTGATTTTTTTGGTGTTGAGTTGTATAGTTCTTTATAAATTTTGAGTTATATAAGCTCTTTAAAAATTTATCAGATGTATCATTGGTGAATATGTTTTCTTATTCAGTGGGTTGTTTTTTCATTTTGTTGATGGTTTTATTTTCTGTGCAAAACCTTTTTAGTTTGGTGTAGTCCCATTCATCTATCAAAATCTACACTTTCTAATTGTAACCATTAAATCATAGGTTAAATGTAAATAATCATTAGATCATTAAATATAATCATTAAATTACAGAGTAAGAAATAACCATGGGAAGTCATTTTTTTCCATAGCCTCTTATGAACAGATCGGTACCTAATATAGCTCAGCTGAGAACCTTCTTGCTTTTAAAGACATCTGTAGACAGTACACCCAATGGATGACAAGTTCATCCTCTCTTGACATTCCATTTTAATAACTGACAATGTTCTTAAAAAATTTTACTCTGAAGCAAACTTTTAGCTTATCCCTCTATTTGCGATTTGAAATCTTTCTTGTCTTCAGGAAATCTTTTTGCTGTCTTTAGTGAATAAAAATTTTTAAATAGTCACTTTTATGTAGAATCAAAGTATTAAACATTTGGTCCTTAAGTTTTTTTGTTAGCATTCATTTTTCTAAACAAAATGTTCTCAGCTCCTTTAGTTTTTCTAATCTACCTGTCAGAATAAATGAAAATGTTTTATTTTGGACATAACATCATGTCTCTGAACCAGTGTGATAATCAAAAGAACTATTCTTTGTTTGTTATAACATTGAAGAAAAGGAAATTGAAATGCAATTGATTTTTACATTTTTGGATATTTGAAATATGATGAGGCATAAGTGAAATAAGAGTGATAAAATTAATTTCTTCAAGTTTATTTTCTACTATGGGTGAAGGAATTGAGGACAATTAAAAGGGGCACATTTGTGGCCCGTGGTGTTACTGAAAGGAACTAAACAATGAGAAATAGAGTAGACTGTCAGAGGGACCTGAAGCATAATTTAGCACTTGTCATTGAATCAGTCATCTGTTTCCTCTTTCTGAAGTATTTTCTAGGTAGAGGATTCCCCAAATTACACTGAATTGAATTTTTTGCAGAAAGAAATCAATGATCACAACAACAAAATATCTGGATTTTTAGAAAGGATACCATATCCCTAAGAATATATCAGTATCCACATTGTAGCCAATCTATCTTCAATTTTTCATTTGCTCATTAAAAAAATTCCTCTTAAGACTTTGTAGAGTGTAAGATATTGGAAGGTACAGCAAGGTACTCGGGGATTTAAACGATGCACCTCTGACCTGCTTTTCCACTACAACAGAGGCAGCCATTGTGCTTTAAGGTGCACAGCAAAAATGAGTTCCTCAATCACAAAAGCATGGACATACCACCCTAATTTAATTCTGGGAGTAACTTCCCACAATATCATTGAAAGTCTACAATTAAATTAGAGTATACCTAGAGGTAAGCATTCTACTGAGATTGTTTACCCTCTTCACTTTCATGCAAGCCACCCTCCCTAGACAATCCAATCTGTCTACCTAGGCCTCTGGGCAGTTTTTGCAGAACCTAGCACATCTGTCACTCCCAGGGCACCCACTGTGCATGCTCCACTACAGGAATGGTTCTTTGTGACACAGTACTTTTCCAAATAGACATATAGCTCTAGAAACCCTTTGAAGAAAGTAGTAAAATGGAATTGAAATAGCCACATAGAAGCCAACAGAGAAACCAAGAAAGCAAGAAAATTGTTATAAACTCAGCTGCCTTATTGCCGAGTTTAGGCTTCCTTTTAAGGTGACTCAGGTACTTCCGACTTTCCGAGAAGACCAGGTTCCAAGCACATTTTTGTTTTGGTCCTTGGTATGTCCATCCCAAACAGTACAACCTGATACACATTTCTTTCCCACATCTAGAATTGAAAGCTGGGGGAGGGTTCAGGGGATGGGCAACCTTCATTGCCCAACCTCTAGGATTAGCCAGGCCCTGGTTACCAACTGAATTCTAAGCACATTTTTGGGTCACATATTAGTCCTTTAAATGGTTCTTCATAAGTCATCAGCATCATGAGTTCAGATCTTGTGAAGTAAGCTGGTTAGTCCCGCTCAGTTAAATGTGATATTAATAGCATTTCTTCCACACCTCACCCCCCGCCCCCACCAAATCTCTAGGTTGGCTGTGGTGATATCTGGTGACATCACTGTGGACTCCTCTTTTGTGAAAGCCGGCCTGGAAATCAGTGCGGAAACGGAAGGCAGCCTGGAGTTCATCTCCACAGTGCAGTTTTCTCAGTACCCATTCTTAGTTTGCCTGCAGATGGACAAGGCTGCAGCTCCATTCCGGTAAGAACAGCGCTCGTGCCAGGTGCCAGGTCCGTGCCCCGGCCACCAGGAGTTTGCACCCAGCTTTGAGCATTCAGTTTCAGAAATTAAAAGAAAATGGTAAAAATCCAGTGAAATGAAATATCTTTAATAACAGAAATGTTGATAAGGCTGAAGATTGACTCACTTCCTAGGATATCAAGAAACTATAATAACTAGTTCATTTGATTCAGGAGATATCATATTCTATCCAGAAATAATTTATCAAGGAAACAAAGGGATCTGATTTACCACAAGTGTTGCCATGTAGTTTCACCAAAAATATTGGGTGCATATTTACTAACATCTACCTTCACAGCTGTCTGCTAGACAGAAGGTTCAAAGCAAAATGTCTAGTCACTTATCATGGCTCACAGTTTTTAGGTAATCCATACAACAGTTTCTTGACTTTAAGTTTTGGCTAAAACTTGAGAGTTTGGGATTTTGAATTTTTAAAAATGTTCTCAGCAGAATCCTTATTGTCTCAAAAACCACATATAAAATTGTCCATTAGATTTCCAACACTTCTTCCTCTCTAGAGTTTTTCATTTATACTGTGTCTTTTGAATCTTGTAACCATATTTATAGCAATACCCTCTCATGTGGAATTAGAATGCTTTTGGTCAAGGTAACACTGTGAGTTGTAGAGGTTTCCTTGACACACACTATTAACCATAAAAGCAATTTATATGCTTAAAACAGCAAGCCATATTTTACATCATCTCCTTTGATAAGTAGGCTAGAGTTGAGCACCTTCCTTATATTACTATTTCAAGATCCATATAAAATGCATAAATAATATAAGTGTAAATATGAGTTGGTTATATTTTTACAGAATAAAATATAGTAGATTATAATCAGAACATTAAACTGTTGCTAATTTATATAACTTATGTGTAGAATAAATTTCCACTAATGCATTAAAAAAATCAACCTTCCAATGGCCAAAATGCAGCAACCACCAATCCAGGCACATTTCACCTGGCCACAGCTTCAGGAATGTTTCCCTGTCAGCACGCTAGTCTTATAACCAGTTGAACTTGCTATGTACTCAAACAGGGAGTGAGCCCAAGGTGGGGCTCCTGGAATTAGGGATGGGAGACATAGCAAGGGTTGCAAAGCTTAACAGCATCTCCAACAAGTTGACTGGGATTCAGTTCTTCACTCCAGAAAAATGTATGGCAGACCCCTATAGTCCAAGCACTGGAAGTGTATCTGTTTGTATAAAAAGAACAGGGAAGGAAAAAAATTACCCCATTCACGGGAATGGAAGCTGGTAGGTAGCCTTTGGCAGTCAGATCCTTTCTCAAATTGCTTTGAAACAGAAGCTGAAAGTGTACACTAATAGCTTGGCTCTGACAGGCGTGAAGTGACTGTAATATGTGTGTAATTTTGTTGTTGTTGTTGTTATGCAGGCAATTTGAGACAAAGTATGAAAGGCTGTCCACAGGCAGAGGGTACGTCTTGCGGAAAAGGAAAGAAAGGCTCATAGTAGGATCTGAATTCCCTCTCCACCAAGAGAACTCTGAGATGTGCAAAGTGGTGTTTCCCCCTCAACCTGAGAGTACTTCCAGCGGTTGGTTTTAGAACTGATCAGTGATGTTTCATGTGAATTCACCTCCTCAGGAGGGATCCGATGTGACATGCCTGAGTACTTGCTTTCTGAGAGCACAGTGTTTACATATTTACCTGTATTTAAGATTTTGTAAAGAGCTATAAAAATCTTCAAATGATCAAATTTGGGCCTATTCAGTATACTAACCACAGTGTCAATTTTGAGCCAAAATATGTGATACTTCTAGCAAATCCAAGTTGACATAGTGAGAATAGTTCTTCCCTAAAAAGAAACTATTGTTTATTTTTTCAAAAAACCACACACACTTAGAAGAACCCAGTTTTGTTTCAATAACTTTCAGTGTGTATGTAGCACTTGTTAGAATCTTAAACATGGATTGTTTCTACCAAACATATTCCCACTCAGGAAAAAACAGACCTTTTTTTTTGAAGGGGTGGGGGGTGTCAGGGAGAAACAGTAGGGACAAGACTTGTTAAATACTTTTCCAGCCAGCTTCATGAATTAATGTTTGTCTGTTCTGTTCTTTCACTGAGCGTTGAGGTAGAAGACACACAGCGCTAAAACACCTTCTCGTCTTTCTGCTGACCATGTAATCAGTCCTCTGCCTTCCACCCCACAAAAACATTGGACTTAGTGGCTAAGAATTAGAAATATTAAATTCAGAAACTCCATTTGATTTTTTTGTGCTGTTTCTCTTTGAGACTGCAATGTGGTATACTATCCTTTATAAGGGACATCTTCATATAGTCATCATTTTACCTTTCATTCAGTTGTTTATGTGGTAAAATTTCCAGTCTGTTTGACTACAATCTATACAAAAGTGAGAATGGCAGATAGAGTTTAATACTGCTTTGAGAAACTGATGGATTTGGACTTCTAAACTATGAAATCAAGAAATGATTTGTATTTGTACAAATAAAAAGAGGCATGTTAAATATTCTAAAATATTTATTAATGAAACACATATTAATGAAACATTTGTTTCTAGTAATAAACCCAACACAAATAACAAACATTCATTTGTCCACTAAACGCACATGCACAGGAGTTTATCCAGCCTGTCATTGGCAGTAAATTTAAAATGATGTGTGATGAAATAAACATGTGGAAATCCTATTGATTCCTTTTGTCTTCTGTTACTTCAAACACCATATTTCTCTGTTCTTGACAATTTCTGGGCCCAGACACATGCACAAGTAGCCTTTGCAGTCCTATAGTACAGGCCAGAGACTCCAATAGGAGGTTCGATCCCTTGGGAAGAAGAGACACTGAAAATAATAGCAGTCAGAACCTCTTAAGGACCTGAAAAGCTGAGAACAAGGTTTAAGCCCAGTTTTCATACAACTCTGGACTGGCACCTTTACTGGTATGTTACTGTGAGGAAAGAAAGAAATCAAAAACTGAAGGGCACCCTGGGTGGTGTGGCTCAGTGGAGTGAGCACGGGCCTGAGAACCAAAGGGTTGCCAGTTTGACTCCCACCCAGTCAGGGCACATGCCTGGGTTGCAGGCCAGGTCCCCAGTTGGGGGCATCCAAGAGGCAACCACACACTGATGTTTGTCTCCCTCTCTTTCTCCTTCCCTTCCCCTCTGTCTAAAAATAAATAAAATCTTAAAAAACTGAAGGAGGGGTGTTGTGTTCTTGGTGGTGGTTTTGGCCTTGGAGGAAGTATCTGTGAAGATACTTATGCTGTAGACAAAGCAAGTTGATCTAGGGCACTAGCCGAAGATGTCATGGTCTAAGAAACCTCAACCATGTGATTTTAACATGACACAGCTGCTTCTGTGAAATGTGACATCATAATTCACTTAAGAATGGTGACTGTGGTGCCCCGGACATTAGTGTCATACTATTTCCCAACTGCCTTTCTTCTTGGCTGAGTGGAGCACCACCACTCATTTGCATAATGCATAGTACTTAGCAACTACCATGTTCCAAAGAAACAAGAAACCTGAGGCATAGAACAAACATTAACTCCTCTCTAGATAAGTGAGACAGAATTTTAACGAGAATGGAGGGATAGTCCACATTTTGAAATGACATGTGGGAGCCAGAAGTATAGCTGTGAGCCTCACTTGCAGTTCTCTAGTTCTGACCACTTCATTGTTTCAAACAGCAGTGGCCACGTGGCTGTGTTCTCTGCACAGTAACTGCCTGCAAACGGCTCAACCTTTTCATGGGGGTCCTCTGCCCACTCAGCTTCTGCCAACCTTAAGGCTGTAGCCTGGCTGCTTCTCTTCTCTGAAGTGCTACTGCCTCTGTCTCTCTCTCTCTCAGTGGGTACTGCCCATGACAAGTTGCTCCCTGCTTTCTCAACCTGACCATCTTTAACACTATCTGTAAAACTACACTTATTTAGTGTTTATTATGGGCCAGGTATTTTAAAGGATTTTATACATATTAAATCATATAGTTCTCATGACAATGATATTTAACAGATAGCATTATTATTTTTGTGTTATAGATGAGCACTGTCCAATAGGAATTTAATGTGAACCATATTAGTAATTTTAAATTTCTAGCAGCCGCATTAAAAGATAAAAAGAGAAACAAGTAAAATGAACTTTAACAATATATTTTTAGTAGTTATATTATATCAACATGTAATTAATATAAATTTATTAATGAAATATTTCATTTGGTGGGAGAGCATCAGGTCTTTAAATGGGATACACATTTAGTGTATACTACATATAGTAGTTGGGATTTGTCACATTTCAACTGCTCAGTAGTCCTATGTGGCTAGTCGTGACCAAATGGGACAAGACAATTACAGAGAAACTGGGGAACAGAAGACATTTAACTTACCCCACAGAAGACATTTTCTCAACTAGAAAGTGGTCAAACTAGAATTCAAATATAAGTTGTCTCACTCTGTTGTCGGAGGAACCAGGTTCTTCAGTGGTGTTAAGGGAAAAAAATTTCAGGGACACCCTCATAGGAGGATTCTAAGCAATGGTGGCAAGATTTATTAGAGCAAAAAGTGACAGTAGACCCCAGGAGAGTCAAAAAGTGGGCAGGCTGGAGATCCTTGCTGAGCTTCGTGTCTCCTTGGGTTTGGGAAAGAGCAGGCTTTCTTTCCCACTCCCCACTCTCTTTCTTGGCTTGTCTTGGGCTCGTGCTTCTGCCCTCCCCCAACCATCCTTCCCTGGATTTTCCCAGGCCTGTGCCCTTCTGCTATCTCATCTTTCCCCCCTCTTATGGTCACTATTTTGTCTCCTATGCATAACTCATAGTGCTGCTTGTCTTTTGGCTTGTACTACACCAGCGCTTAGTAAAAGGAATCCCCATGCACCATCTTGGCTTCTACCATGCATGAACTCAATAAAAGAATCCCCCCCGCCACTGTCTCCGCCACACACACATCTCGTCAACCTGGTAGAATGAATGATGTCAGTTCTCCCCTCGGGGGGGCTGTGATGCTCTCTTTCCTGCCTTGCTGACTAGGCAGGATCTTTTTCTCTGTTGGGCAGAACAATGCTTACTCTAACAACCCCAGAAACCGTGTTCCGAGTCTACTGTCCTGTATTTCCTATATAGTTTTGGTTTTGAAGTCTTGCTGCTAAAAAGAATATGGATGGCAGTTATGAAAGTGACAAATATGGGAAAACAGCTATAAAGCTTTAAGCTACATTACAAATTTCTAAGAGCCATTGCCTTTCTGTGTGATTCTTGTGTCTCTTACTCTGGTAGTATGAGAAGTCCCTGGCACTATTGTACACTTCTATTTCTTTCTTTGCCAAGTGTCCTTTCTTCCATGAAAGGCACTTTATTCCTGGAGGCAGGTCTGAATGTGCAAGAATAAATGCATTTTTGGATAGCAGCTTTATTGAGATATTCACATATCATACAATTCACCCATTTATAGCATAGAATCTAACTTTATATTACATATAAAGATAGTACATTAAAAAAATTGTACAAGTATCACCTCAATTTGGAGGAAACATTTTCATCATTACAAAGATTAAGCCATACCCTTAGCTGTTACTCCCAACCTCCTGATCTCTACCTCTCACATGCAGCATCCAGCAAGGTGGGAAATGGGAGAGGACAACAACAGTGAGGGCTATTTGGAGTAACATGCTCCTGCATATCTGAAATCTCATCTTTTCCACATACTGCTGCCATATAAACCTCCAAGCCTCTCAGTTTCCACAGTGTAAAATGAGTGGGCCTCACAGGTTGCTGTGTGGATGGAAATAGGTAATGGGCTAATGTCTGACATGTAGCAAACTATAAGTATTCACTAGCAGTGACTTTTTATGTGTGGTCCTATAGAACTACAGAATAAACCAACATTTTATGTTCTAGCTTCATGGAGTGAATCTATTCTCTGAACTTTCACCCATGAGCACCATTGGTTTTAGGAAGATTACCCATTGTTTATTTGCTTATCATAAAAATATGCTTTCACATTATAAAAAATGTTTTCATATTTTGTAAAAACATGATTTTCATCCATTTCTCCACACCCCCAGATTGACTTCACATTTTACCAATCCTTTCTTCTCCAAATTCCTTTGCACTTGTTCTCTGTGACTATGATAATTAGCATGAGGAAAGAATAAGTATTTTCATGAGGAAGCATGGAATGAATTTAAAATTTAGCCACAAAATAAGCAAGTTACAGTAGAAATTTCTTGGAAAAAATAAAGGATTCCACATCATAAGCAAAATGGATAGCATTTTTAGAGGGAAAAAATACCAGAAGCCTGTATCCTTGCTCAGTCATTATCCTCCCTCAGGACCCGAGCAGAGTGTCATGTCTGTGTCTAAACTTCTGTCTGTTTCTTAGTCACCACCTCCCTCAGCGTCGGGTTTCTTTTCTTAGTCTAGGTTCCTGCAGGAACAGGGTCTCTGCATGAAACCACGAGCACATTTGAGCTGGGTAGTTTGAGAGGAGCTCAACAAACTTTATAAATGTAAGGGCAGGCTAGAGGGAAACAGCGATGCACAGCAACCTGGACTCATTGCGCCAGGGATGCTGAAAGGGCAAGGGAGAGAGTGACCATTAGATCCCAGAAAGCATACTCTGGGTGGAGCTGTGGCCTTGGATCAAGGGACAAAGCAGCCCTTACCACCTCCCCCTGGAGGGAGCCTGGGAACAAACATCCTGACCTCACTCTCTGTTCTGCCTCTGTCTCCTACCTATGGCACTCTTTGACTGAAACCAACCAGAAGCCAGGGCTCGACAAGGCCTGTTGATCCAGATTATCCACAGAGGTAGAAAGGGTGGTGAGGGGTTTGGAGGGGAAAATGGAAGAAATCCAGTGCAAGCTTATTCAGTAAGTTCTCCCTTACGATTTATTAATTGATTTAACCAGCTATCTCACAACCTAGAGGATCTATTAGGATTAAGAAATGTACTAGGTTAAGAAAAAAAGATGTATTGCCTTATCTCAAGGAACTCAGTGAAGTGAAGGCAGCAATACAACTAAAAATAATTTTACAATGGTATAAATATTGTAAAAGAAAAGTGTTCGAAATCCTAAGAGGGTGTAAAGGGGAGAAAGGTAAGGAAAACATCATCAAGAAAGTAATATTTGAGTAAGGCCACATGGTTATTTTACTTCTATCTGATCAATTACTTAACCAAAACTGGCCTCTTTCTTTGTATATCAGATTCCTTTGCTGTCTATTACCTTTAAAACCCCAAAGTGAAGTGTGGTTAGTTTGCCTTTAGCTTGAGTGTGCAGACAGATGATTCTCACTCTCAAGAGCCTACTGTACAATTGAGTGTTCTATTTGATAAGATTATAAAATAACATCATAACCTAGATCAATAAAAAGTCCATCATCAGAGGAATGTGAGCTAATTATTTACCTTCCATCATGAATGAATTAGTAATCCTTTGCTACCTTACTATTTTAAAAAGTTTAATTTATTTGCAGTTGACTTGGAATATCACATAAACCTGAAAGCTATTTTCATCCTTCTATTTTTATTAAAAACATTCCTGCCATAATCTTCTAAGATTACATGTAAAAGTTTGGACATTCTCTTTCCAGAATAGGCTTTAAGTTTAAATTACTTGAATCTTTTTATTAGTAAAAGTGATTCACCTCTATTCTGTTTGGGGTACCAATCCCCACTTTTGTGATACTTATTCCACTCATC